GAGAAGAGTGCCGTTACAATCGTTCAATGAAATATCAATCAAGATGTGTGTACGCAATTAATTTTCAGATAAAGTCCGATCTGATAGGTTTCACATACTCAGTCCATTTCGTCCATGTTTCATAGAATAAGTCCCTTTGGTTGAATCTTGCGTTTTAAATGTGTGTTTTGTTTTGGTTTTTTTTCTCAGTGATGTCTCTGAACTATTTATTTTTGAAATTTTCTAAAAATCTATGGGAAAAATGAATGGAAAATTTACTTCTGGAACTGGAATGGGCTGGTCACTGTTGAGCTCCATAAAAGCTGATCCAAATCTGCTTGAATCTGGTTACAAATGTTGCACAGGCCATTCACCAAACACACAAACCACAAACTCCAGTGACGTCAGTGATAATAAAATGTACCAGATACCCAGACACAATAATACTCATTCAAACTAAAACCAAAAGTCAAACTAAAGCAAAAAAGCTATTATCTCATGGTCAAGGAGAATTATAAGATTAACTATCATGCATTACTTTAATATAACCACATAACCAACTATTAACGACTGTTCTATATCACTACGTTACAGGTAAAAAAATGAACTACAGTTAGGAGGGACGAGCTTCAACTAAAACAGAATTAATTCCTTTGACATCCATGAACAGCCAAAAGAACAATTTTCAGTTTATGGGACCATGGAATAACAGAATTAAACAGAACAACACACTGCTCCTTGTTGTTTAATCCTTACTTAATACAGTTCATAGAGAATTATGTTCACTAATTAGACTTAAAATTAATGACAACAAACAGTGCAACAAAATTAAAGCTGTTTGTAATTCTATGTCATGTGTCTTTTGTTATAATATAATGCAAGTTGATGTAAAAGTATTCAGGATATAGTACTCTGATTGGACCATGTAACAGAATATTTTGCGAAATACTCATAATATTCAACTAAATACATTTTCAAAGTATTCTTCCCATCACTGAATGTACAGCAACAAAATTAAGACTAAACGAGGACTAAACCAGAGTCTACATTAGGACTTAACTGGGCTCAAACCAGCGTTAAACAAGTGCAAGTGTGAAGATAGTCAATGTGCCCCCCAGCTTTGATTTAAATAGTTTTACCATATGACAATACATTTCTAAAAGGCCATAATATTTATTTATAGACTAATACCTCTATTAATCTCCATTTTGGATCTGAGTTATTGCTTTGGAGTTTTCATTCATCGTACTGTCCTTGAGCAGTCTGACCACAGGGACAGCAATCCATATGTGAAAAGCATTTCTAGAGCTATTTCCTGTTGTGTCCTGGATCCCCCTTTTCTGGGAACCATGGATACAAAGAAGTACAATTTTAAAAGGCTTGTATTACATTATTTTCCAATCTATGTTAAAATGTTTTTTTCTCATCAGAATTGTGCCTGGAGTTGTGTTTTTATTCATTTACATATGTTTAAACACACAAATCCTGCATATTTTCTGCGTTGGAGTTCTTCTCAACACTCTGTTCCACTACGTTGTGATGTCATGTGGTAATACAAGAAGTGCTCTACTGTGTTTTTAAACTCCATACACCTTCACTAGAATCATTTGGATAATTTTAACCCTGGAATTTCCAATCTCTACTGAAGAAAAGGTGAAAGGTAGCTGTCAACTTGAAAACTGCTGCTTTGTGACATCACAAGTGGGAACAGAGCATTTGGACATGTAGACAGACTAATAAAAAATTCAAACATGTGTAAATGAAACAAAACACAACTCTGAGCTTGTTTTTGATGAGGTAATGACTAGGGTTGGGTATCATGAAGAAGTTGCCGATACGATACATACCTCGATACAGTACACTTTTCGATTCGATTCGATACGATATATTTCAAATCGATTCAGTACAGTTCAGCAAAAAACAATGGCAAAAAACTCATATCAGTGATACTAAAAGTCTTTGTTAAACCACTTCTTGTGTAAAGTTCATATGAAACACAAACATTTTACTCAACAAAACTGTAAAAATGTCAAATGTGTCTCATAAACAAGTTTCCTTCTTCTAAACAAACAACAAAACTGTAGTGCTGTAACAAATTAATTAAGTAAAATATACCAAAAAATACTTGTGGCCCACGATATCGATACTGTATCATCACATTAAATGATACGATATATCGATATTTTTGCACACTATAGTAATGACACTATAACATCATTTAAAGCACACACGTGTCAATTTTGTGTAATATAAGATCTTAAAGAATAGAAATAGATTTTGTTGTTATCATTTGTTTTTATATATTGCAGAAGCAGAATGATTTGTACTGGATTGTGGATACTGCAAAAACACTCACTGATTACACTGTGAGTAGCTTGAGGTCCTCATGTGAGAGCCAGGCCGGTCACATGTCGCTGCTGCCTTATTTGGCCCGCTGTTCTGTTTCTATTATAACTGTGGTCATGTGATCAGGTATTGGCAGATCCATATGTTTTGTGTTGACCGGGTCGACAGAGATGAGCTTTGAGCGCACTGAAGACGGATGAGGCCATTCCTCTGGTGAGCTGCATGTAACACAAGATCTGTACAACAACAAAGCATGAATCTCAGCAAATGTAATGTAATAATGCGAGTCTTATTGATGTTTGTTTGTCTCATCGCATAACTGCTTATTTACTGTCAGGGGCTGGATCACTATATCTGGTAAATGCAGAGTGGAAGACAGTTAAAGGGCCCACATTACACTATTTTCTCATCTATGTTATAATGTCTCTTCAAAAACATTCCTAGAGTTTTGTTACGTTCACACATATTTAACACACAAACCCTGCATTTTTAGGCCATTATTCTCTTAAACTGAAAACACTTTGTTCCACCTTGTGATGTCATGTGGTAATACAGGAAGTGCTTCATGGTTTTAAACTCCATGCACTTTCACTAGAATCATGTGGGTGATTTCAGGTGATTTCAACCACGGAATTGCCATTCTCTTACTTAACATAATTTGAAAACTACAGCTTCATGACATCACAAGGTGTAACAGAGCATTTTGCGCTTTGGAGATGTAGACAGATTTATAATAAAGTTACTCAAACATGTGCGAATGAAACAAAACTCAACTCCAGGTATATTTTTGATGAGGTTACAGCATTATAACAGGGCTAAAAGCTCACAAGAGTAAATTGTATGTAATATAAGACTTTTAAATGCAAAGGAAATGTTCAAATTTTCTTTAAGTTGCAGCACATGATAGATTATTGTCAGTTCACTTGAAATTTTGCTGGTGGTGATCATGTCATGCTTCTTTCCATGATGAGTTCAGTGCCTCGCCTGTCATATTATACAGTATAGCATTAAATGTTCTACGGATCTAGGATTTTATATCATAGGTGTTTTTTATGCTTGAAAATTACCTTGAAAAATCCATATATCTTCCGGGCTGTGGGTAGGCTTTCCAAAGAGATGTTATTGCTTTCCCTGAAATGTTCCACACTGCAGTAAGGCATTAAACCTCCATGGAAACAATCAGGTGATACCATCAGGCTGAGTTACCGGTCAGACCACTGGAGAGGCAACGCTGCAGTAAGAATGCATATTTTTCAAGGGAATTTTTAGCAATAAAACTAAATTATTACAGATTGTTCTCAAATGCATCAGAGATTATAACTGATCACAAACATAAACAGCAAATAGATCGCCCCTGTGCTGAGGCATAACACTACACACAAGCATGTTGGGGCAGCTCCTCCATTACTGTAGTGTCTTCAATCAAAGGAATGCAGCCCTGTGCCCCCACGTGACCCCGTCCGTCCCGAGCGACAATGCACCAGTAATGTAATAAGTGTGATGTAACAAGGTAATATGGAGCTCACTGGATTGTTCCCTGGTGAAGGGGAGCAGAGGAAATGGTGATGAGATTGTAGCCTCTCCCTGAGGATGTGTTGAGAGCATCGCAGAGGCCGGTCATGGATCTAGTTACACATGTTGTACAGACCATTCACCAAACATACAGGGTTGACCACAAACTCCAGTCATAGCACTTATAATACAATCGTACCAAATATCATATTTTATTTGAGTAATGGAAGGACCTTGATCAAGACAAATAACTTTAGTCAAAATACCAGACATCCAACAGAAAATTTTAAAATATTGTTTTGTTTGCTATGAATACAATTTAACACAGTAAATACTTTTGACTGTCCGATTTTTGTAAGAACAATTTAAAACACAGCTCTTGTGTTTTGCCCCTCTCATTAGACTTAAATTAATGAATTAAATTAATGACAACAAACAACAAACAACAAAGCTTGTTTATAATTCTATGTGATGTGTCTTTCACTATAATATAATGCAAGGCCTTTTAAAAGTATTCCAAGTATTCAGAAGATAGTACTCTGCTGGGACCATGTAACAGAATGTGTTACATGGTTGACCACAAACTCCAGTCATACCACGTATTGTACCAGATATCATATTTTATTTTTTTAATGGAACGACCTTGATCAAAACAAATAGCTTTACTCAAACTACCCAGAGGTGCTACTGAATAAAGGAAATTTAAAAAAATATAGATTTCTTTGCTATTAATAAAATTTAACACAGTATATATGTAGTATACCTTTGAAAAGCAGACAAACCTTGAAATGCACACGGTCTTAAAACCGTCATTTAAGTTTATACAGTTTGCTAGCATCGTAAACACAATATACAGCTAAATGAATCAAAAAACTCTGAAAAGACTTTCTTTTGCACTGTGCTTCTGTATTAACAAAGAGCTGCAATACCACAGTTTAATTACACGCGCCTCTGTGGAATGTGAAAAGATGTCTGCAGTCACTGTGGGGTCAGAACAATTCAGAAAGCCTTCACAGCACTTTTCTAATCATTGCTCAGAGTTTATTAAAAAGTAAACGCTCGTCTTGTCTTCTTGTCATGGATGAATTGGAACCAATCTGAACCCTATTTGAGTTTTGTTGGAAAAAAATATTTTTAAAGGTAAAAATAACAATGGCCCAAGATGAGAGAATAATAGATTTATTGAAAGCGCTGCATTAAAACAAATCGATGTAAAAGAATAAGAGGGAATGTGCTGGCAGCTGATGGCTGAGTGCATTTGTGGCTTTTATGTTTCTGATGAAAAACATGAATAAACACAGACTATATTTTAGGTTAGATTTTAGGTTATTATGAGAACTGCTGACTGGATGTACCTCGAGGAATGTGATACAAGATGATGTAGTGCACCAATCTGGAAACAGTATGATCACCTGCACATTATTGCAGATGTTAAACATACACATACAATAGGAATGCTAAAACCGCTTTAACTCATACTTGTGGCTCGTCTGTTGGATCAGACAACATGGATAACGTTCAGTATTCATAAACATCATGGGTTCTCCCTTTCACTTCACAATAACACAAACACTTAAAGTGAATTTGAATAAAAATCTGCTCAAATCTTTATGCCCACACCATGTGTTATTTCACCTGTAAGTGTTACTAAAGTTTGATGAGCATTCTGAGAGACGTTTGTCTTTTGGAGTTAAACTAAAAGTTGGAATATAATACATACACACATATACAATTTGGTCAAATATTTGAAATGTTCAAGGAAGACATAGAGAATGCATAAATCATGATCAACAGTAAAAAGCAATATAATGTACAATAAATACAAATAGCATGTCCTCTTTTGGTTAAAAAAACAAGTGTTGTAGTTTTATAAAAATCCCCTTTATAACACTGAATGGAAGTAAGACATCTCATATTTATATAAAACAATATCCAAGGATTGGCTTAAGTCTTAAAGGGATCTCGACGCAATTCCAACGCCACATAACTATTTATGGCACAAGCAAGTCCTTAAAGGAAACCAAATAGCAAAATAACATTACGACAAACACAGACAAACATGAAAATGGTGTTTTCAGCTCTGCGCTTCCCTCTGATGTTGCAGAGTGCTCAGTCCACATTTCTGTAGCGGGTGAACAGGTTGTAGAGGACACGCAGTGTGGACTTCAGATCACAGTTCACAATATCTGGAAACAAGAGAACAATATGAGAATTATGTTATGTATCTTCACATGCTACGAGAACAATTGAAAAAGCTTCATGGAACAAATTATAGCTGTAACTGTGTAATTTTGTATTAAAGACAAGTATATATACACTTTAATAACACATTACAGGCTTGACAAAGCACTACAGTGTAGTCATCATTCACTATACACTTGGTGTTAAGCTATTGTTGTAGCCTCAGCTGCTCTGGGGAAGACTGATGGAAGCGAGGCTGCCAATCTGCACAGTCTCCGACCACCACTGGAACTCACACATTAATTTTATACAATTTACTCTGAGTACACTTCTATAAGCAATTTTGTGAATTAAGTGTGTTTTTGTTTTTCTTGCAGCAAGATTATTTTATGTTCCATTGACAAATCCTTCTAGACAAGTCAAAATGTACTTGAAATAATTATAAATAAATAATAAAGATGAAATACTTTTAATAAAGATCATGATTTTGATAACCGATCCTGCATCTGTACTTTTATGTACTGGTGTAATGTGAGTGAGCGCCCCCTGTTGACCCATGTGTGTCTTACCCTCTGGCCGTGGCTTGGGCCTCTCCAGTCCCCCGTCCTGCATCAGCTCAAAGGAGAAGGACACATTGTGGACCTGCAGACAGGGCAGAGCATGTCAGCTGCTCCCTGTGTACTCACTCAATACAAGTCTATACAACACACACCCTGTTTATGAGATAAGTGATAAGAGCACGTGGAAACCAAAGCCCAAATGCACTCAGGTGGATTTGCTGCAGTGACGGTAAATACAGACTCCAGCCTTTAGCAGCTGTTCAAATATCGGTCTGTCCATTTATCAGGAGACAGACCCACATTGTCACCAACCAAAAAGAAACTAAAAGAGATCTAATGTGTTCTTTTACTGTAGCTAATGCATTACAGTGTTCTGTCACACTGTTTTCCACTGTTTCCATATTTGATTTATATTACAGACACACAGACGACATTAGAGCGGCACAATATAATCATGTTCACAATATTGGAAAAACGTAGTGATCATATCTTGCAGAGATGGATTAGAACTAGGGTAGGGTCATATGGGAAAACTTTATTATTATATCATGTTTTTTTTTTTTTCCTTTTTTATAATTACAAACAAATAAAAAAGGCTTTCAATATAAAATTCATTAAACCATTTAACACATTTATTCCTCCTATGACTGACCTTGAAGTAAAATATTAATAATTTGAAATGACTGGATTTTGATTTAATTTAAGGTAAATAAAGTAACAATAATTGTAGTCAGGCCGTGTTTGTAAATGAGAATTCTCCAACATTTTACCTGGTTAAATAAAGGTTAAATAAATACATAAATAAGGATCATACTACTTTACTGCTATAACATATATCAAATAACACAATCACCAAATCTGAGACATAAACTCAATGGAGGAGTAAAGGCAACAACAATATATTTCAAAACATATTAAACAACAATTTTATCTATAGTTCAAAAACCTCAGTAGAAATATTTTTACATCAATAAAGGTTAAATAAATATGTACTACTACTTTCCTGCTATAACATTTGAAAGCAGCAAAGTAGTCACTAAATCAGAGACATAAACTCAATGATGTAAAGGCAACAACAACATATTTCAAAACATATAAAGTTTTTGAACTCTTGATTGAAAATTGTTGTTAAATATCAAACTTCAGCAGAAAAAAAATTAACATCCCAACATGGAACAATAAGAATGCAATATTACTGTCTAGAATAGTGTTTCCACAGAACTTAATCTTTCTACAGACGACAGCTCTACCATGGAAACTGTGCTTCAATGAAACGCGAGACTGGTGTTTATTGAAAACAGAGCAGCAGCAAAACCCTTTCAGACAATCACTTAAAGGTAGAATTATATAGATATTGCACTAAAATAGGAGAACTCCTGATGTGTGTAACCACTCTGATTGGAAGTGAAAAAGTAGAGAGAGAAAAATAAAACATTTTCAAAGATGTTTTGAGCCATGTGTGATATCAGTGCGCGCCCCTGCTGAGAAGAGCTAACAGTTACCTCGTATAGGGACAAGTATGACCTTACAGACAGTGTATATACAGCACTAAGAGGAAACAGAGGATGTGTCTTTTTCTTTCAACAAAAGAAAAATTCATTTGCAAACACAGGTAAGTGCCACTTGTAATCGGAAGCTTGTAGTTTACTTTTAGTGCAGTAATATTTTCAAAAGCCAAATATATTTTACTACTATAAAAATATTATTCCATCACTGTTGTATTGCATAGTAAATGATCTAAAGCTTCACTAAAGTAACAATCACTTTACATTTCACATTTCACAAAAGAGGTAAAATCAATACACAAGCCATTGTGAATCATGAGGAGCAGCATCTCACACAATACCCTGTCAGACAAAGATAACATCAGACAACACAACAAGTCAGAAGCTTGGACACAACATCTCATTCAATGATGTAGAAAGTAGTAAAGAAGTTTAAAAAATAGTGAACGTGTAGGTGTGTCTAAATTTTTGACTGGTACTGTATAATATCATTAATTTCTCAGTTCCCCCTCAGACCACAAGACTAAACTACATACAGAATGCTTATTAATACTTTCTGATGTAAATTGGCTTTACATTGATTCTCTCTGTAAATGCTGCAGTGAGCCTCATCCTTTTGGTGTTAAAATATCCGTACTAACCTACTTTACATGATCCTGGTGTTTTTACTTCACTATTTTGTCTGTAAATAAATTTCTATTCCTCATATGAAACTCTACTCCAAATTTGCTCCTGTAAATGCTAGCCCCGTAAGTTTCATTTGACTGGAGCTGAATATACGTCACATTCCCTTAGTCCACTTAAAAGATTAAAAGCTCTTTAATGTCCATTTAACCAAATATGTCTCTGCAAAAACTCTGCTTAAGAAGTTGTATGTTTCTTTTGTAATTACGCTCGGACCTAGTTCCCCTAACCTGCCACAATAATGTAATGTCACAGGGGCATGGCAGCATAGATTTTATATGAGATCCTTTCACCCTACACTAACCAGTAATGCACAGCAAGGAAACAGTACTAATGGGGCTGTAATAGGAATGTGCTTTTACTTTAGCTGAGATGCGACAGGACCATCATATGTGGACCTCTCACACAGTGTAATGGAGTGCAGCCCTGAGCCTCTTTAGCGAGTAGTGTGCACAGATTACAGATGCCCAGGGGCTGCCTCTGCTCCTCAGGGCAACAGAGGGGACACTGTGGCCGTACTGTCCATTCTGTTTAGAGGACTGGCAAAAGAAGAGTGGCCAAGACCCAAACAAAAGGTTACTGTGGTGTCTGAGTGTAGTGCCTGTTCAGGATGATATACAGTAGAGCCACGGGATTCAATGGGGCCTGGATTGGAGAGGATAGATGCTCAGAGGTAGGGACGTCTGTCTGTTTTCAGTTATTTGATAATCAGGTCATGATATAGTCTTAAAGGTGCACTACACAACTTTTCTGGTGCCTACTTGTTATTGCTTTGCCTAAAATATTCTATGGTATGACATTAAACATATCCATCTAGCATTTATTCATTACGGGTGTTTCTATTGCTCAAAAACACATTAATTCCTTCTGTGAATGGGGGCGTCTCTCCACAGATCTGAGCTGTAATGTAGTGTAGTGCTGTAACCTGCTTGTCTCCCTCGAGATAAACAGAGGTTTAGTCTAAACTGCGGAACATTCTAGACAAAGCACTAACATTTACATGGAGATAAGCAGGTGGCAGATCCTCCACTAAAAAGGATACACTGTGCACCTTTAAGAACAAAACATGATCCCTTATTATCTATACCTAAAAGTAAACCATTTCAATTTGATATATGCATCAACACAGTAGGTCTACATGTAAATATCTTTTTATATGCATTCTGTTTGTGTCACAATAACTGGACTAAGCTCAATTTCATACAAGAGGAACAGTGATCTGTAAAGTAAAGTAAACAGGATTTTCCGATAACTCAATATTGTGATGCTGAGGAGTGTGTGTTAGGAGCAAACAGTCAATGCCAAATACAAATAATCATCCCATGGCAAACTGAACAAAACTTCCATCTTTCTAGTGCAAGTGTATATAAAAAAAAGTAGAAAGAAACAAGACATACTTCTACTAAGTAACTATGTGTATTATACTGCTTTTTGTTATATTTTTACTTTTAAAAGGTTGCAACATTTTACCTTTTGATCAAAATTCTCAGGCGTCAGAAAGAAGTTGTAAAGCGGCACAAAGTATCCCTCCAACAGCCCCATCAAAAGTACCAGATAAACACCATCTGCAAACTGCAAAACCAAAAATCTAAGTTATTTCTGGAAATATACAGTAAATGGTATTATAAAATGTTGTCATTGATAAAATAGTTTTCATTAGATGCTTCTTTACGTATATTTTTGTGTAGTTAACAATGGTACCTGTGTATCCAACTCTGACACCTCGAGGTTGAGCTTGTTCAGATGTTTGTTGACAAATGTGATTAGCGTCTGAAACAAAATAAGAGGTTCATCATTATCATCATATTTATTCTTTTATTTGTGTATGAACAAAACAGAATTATTATATAAAACAATTACTGAATTAAAAGAATCTGTCCTTGTCATATCTATTGTCATATGTGTGTAGCTGTTAAGTGTTTACCTTTAAATCTACAAGAGCTATTTTAAATCTGCATGTTAAAAAACTCTATAAAAACCTTTACAAGAGTCAGGTTCAGTAGGTGATAATGTGAGCGGACGTTTTTGTACCTTTTTGACCACGTTGAGTTTGTCGGGCGCGTGGTCAAAGAGAGTGTCAAAGGCATCACGCTCTGTGGAGAAATGTATTGCATGTCCATTATTCACAAAAAAAACTTCACAATGCAACAAAGCAACTCCTGGTGAAAGCACTTACCGTGCCTGCCAGAGAAAGCCCTGCAAAAGAGGGGAAAAAGACCAAATATTATACTTAACTGTTGACAATTTTGCAGCTAAATTTAATATAACAATAAAAATGTAAGTACAACCCAATGATGTGCAAATGTAATAAAATTGTAGTTTTGTTTGTTTAGGGAGAACTGTGATATTTAGTTTATAGCTCAATCAATTGAATGGCTTTTTGTGACATGTTGTGTCCCCCAAATAGAGTGCCTGCATAATTTCAGATCCAAAGGCCAACATATTATTGTGATTTTATGAAATTGACTACATATGGTTTCTTTTCACACAGCCTTCCCAATGACCCTAACCCCTTTCATGGATTAAAACCACAACAATTCAATCACAAAGGAATGTATCAGGATTATGCTGCACAGTCATTCACAATAGTCGTCGAGAGGATGTCATAATTTGATTAACAATAAAAGCACATGGGAAAGGTGTGGAAATGACATTCTCAAAAACACTGCTGGGGACTGACACAATGAGGCCGATTCAATGGCTCTGTTCTGCTATTCTATGGAAAGGCTCTATTATTACATGACAATGTTCACACTCTGGACAGCAGTGCTTCTTGGAAAGACTCAGGTGCTGGTGGAGGGGTGGAGGAGGCCTCCCCCGAGGAGCAGATATCGCAGCGGGCCCGGTGGCGGCAAATGGCAGGGGGACAGGCTCTGCTCCCCCACCAACATGAACAGTAACATGCACAGTAACAGGCGGTCATGGTGTAATCTAGGATGGCAAACGCAGGCAGGTCCGGGCAGCGGTCCTAGTGCTCTGGTAATAACCGGATTTCCACTGTGACTGAATCGCGCGTGTGTGTCAACAGTGTATCCATGGTAAAAGATGTGTGTGCTGTTGGCCTCTGGTTATCTCTCACTGCTGCTGCCTCTCAGGATGTGTGTGTATGTGTGCCATCACATGATTCAATACAATGGTTGTCTATTCAGAAATTGCATAAATTACTGGTTTTGACAATAGATAAACCAAAATTATTCCCTAAATTTAGATAGAATAATGGTGTTATGGTTGTTGCATTATTAAGCAATTCTAAACAATTCAAACCAAATTCATACTTAAATGCTGAACTAATGTTTATAATAATTTTAGACCCACCATTTGGTTTTTTTCTAAACAATTTCACTTAAGGTGTTAGTGTGCATTCATAACATGCATTAAAAAAGAATCACTGTTTTACTTTATTAATAATTGTAATTATAAAAAACACAGCATGAAATAAAACAGAGATGAGCTAATGTTCAGACCCTTCCTCTAAGGTCACTCTGCTCTGATTAGTCAAATGGACCACTCTGTTGTGATTGGGTTGCCTTGGAAAAGCATGTGCTCTAGAAATCATTTTCAGATTATTAGTTACTATTTAGTCAGTATATTAAAAAAGCTTCACTCCATATAGGATGGAAATGGGGTACAGTGAAAAAAAAGTTAAATGAAAAAGCATTATGTTAAAAAGAAAAGGAAAACAATTACTTTATATAATCATGATAAAATCTAAAAAGTCTTTTGCTGTATATTTTGTATTCGATGGATTGCTGCTCACCACAGTAAATTGTAAAGGTAAATAATTTACATTTGCATTGAAATGTGATTGCACACACTGTGTTTTAAGTTTTTTTTAAATGTGTCAATCCAGGAGAAAACTAATTGCAATGACCTTAATATTTAAAAAAGGTTCTATTGTACAAAATTGACTCTTGTGAGCTTTAAGCCATGTTATAAGCCTGTTACGTCATCAAAAACATACCTGGAGTTGTGTTTTGTTTCATTCACACATCCTGGTTTCTTAGTCTGTCCAAGGATGAAAATGCTCTGCTCTACCTTGTGATGTCATGAAGCCTTTTATCTTTTGTTGAACAGAGATTGGCAATTCCAGGGCTGAAATTATGCAAGTGATTCTAGTGAAGGTGTATGGAGTTTAGAAACACAGTGGAGCACTTCCTGTATTACCACATGACATTACAAGGCAGAACAGAGTGTTTTCTGTTTGAGAAATAACTCAAGCCTAAATACGCAGGGTTTGTGCGTTAAATGTGTGAATGAAGCAAAATAAAACTGCAGGTATGTTTTTGATGAGAAAACATGATTATAACATAGATCAGAAAATAGCATAACTTGGGCCCTTAGTATGTAATCCAAAACTAAATCAAATGAAAAATTGCAAATTAGATTCCCTCTGCTCCACTCCTCATCTTGAGCACTATGGACTCAGTAAGAGCATTTTTGTATGCTAATAGTCCAGTTCCATGCTGAAGGCTGTCTCCAGACCCAAGGCCCTGCACTGAATGCCGCCCAGGCAACATCAACTCTTTTTACAGCACTTTCCTTGAGTTTCCTAGTAAAAAGCAGACTATGTGAATAATATGAATACTTTTCTCTATTACCCAAGCAATAAATGCAGTGTGATAAATATTAAAGGCATCATCGGGTCACGTATTCACTCATCAAAGCCCAGCTCTGCCTTTGTTTCCTATGGTCCACTTCTCTGCAAACTTGAGTGGCGCTCTTTTATCCGCTTGCCTCCAATGGACAACACCGGACAATACATTCTTGAATACACTTGATTATAATTTAAATATTTTACTGCGGCACAGATACAGCATCTTCAGTAGCCCTGGTGATCTGTGCCATTTGTATGAAATATCAAAAGAAACATCTCTAAAGCTTCAATTTGGTCAGACTCAAAGAAAAATCTAGCCAATTAGTCCATGTCTGAATGTGGGTGACTCGTGTCCAAGGATAGGTATTCAAAGGGCTTGTGAAGACAACCTTATGAGAGGTGTTTATCACATGATGTCTGATTAAGCAACAAAAATAGGCAGTGACATGATTTCTGCTGCTTTCACCGATACTGGTTTTGGGGCAAGACCTCTGGTGTATTCCCAGAATGACATAAAATGATGGGATCTTTGACACTTGTTTTGGATCAGGTATTGCAAATCAAGGCTAGATGTTATGATATTATTAGTGTAGTATTGTAAGTCTGTCCATTTTCTCAGTGGGATTTGAATATAGAACATTTTTGGCCCAGGTGTGGATACATTAAAGGTCCTATATCGTGCTATTTTCTGATCTCTGTAATAATGTTATTTTTACATCGAAAACATACCCGGAGTTGTGATGTGTTTCATTCACACATTTGTTCTTTTAACACAAGTTCTGCATATTAAGGCTCAGTTCATCTCTCGAACAGAAAAGACATCACACCTTGTGATGTCATGTAGTAATACAGGAAGTGCTCTACCCTGCTCAATACGCCTTCACTATTTGGATCATTTCAGCCGCGGAATTGCCCATTTTTACTGAACAAAAGGTAAAAAGTAGCTATTAACTTGAAAATGACTGCATCATGACATTATAAAGTGTAACAGAGCATTTTGAGCTTTGGAAATGTACAGACTAATAATTAAGGATTACTCAAATATGTGAGAATGTAACAAAACACAAACATACCTTTTGAGAAGGTAACAACATTATAACATGGCTTAAAGCTCACAAGAGTCATTTTGCTTAATACGGGAATTTTAAATTACTAAAAACAACAGTGTCAATGTCCTTAATGAAACTCATGTCAGGGTGGACAATACAGACAAAAAAGCTTATTTTTATTTTTTTTATGATATTCAGACAATATTCATGCATTTTCTAAAAGTACTAGTAAATGCTTTGGTTATTTGTCTAAACTTTAAAATGTGACTTACTCTGTGTTCCCAGTGATCTCTTCCTGGATCTGTCTGGACTGAAGGATGCCCTCCCGTTTCTTTAAAAAAAAAAAAAAAAATTATATCCAAGTTTAATACACAAATGAGCTGTTTGAACCCTGTGGAGTATCTCACCTGTACGACCACCACCTGAATAGACACATGGTCAGGTAATCTGATGGGCGCCCTGAAGTGTTGAGACAGCGCCACCAGCAGGTGCAAAATAGCCACAATGCTTTTGGCATGGACCGCTAACAAAAGTCAAGAAAGACAAAGATAATTCAATTCAAAATGTGAAACCAACTCAATAATACACACTTTAGTTATTTTAATTAGGGCTATACAATTAATAAAATTTTAATGAAGATCAAGATTTCGTAATTCCCAAGTATCACTACTAGGCCTAGGTATTTTTGATCTAAAGATCTAAAATAAATCCTGTGTGTAAAAGCATTTGGGTTGGATCAGAGTCCAGAAGAAATCTGACTGTTTTTTAAATGCTGTTTATTTGTTAATTATTTTTATTTGTTTTTAAAAATACAAAATAAAATTTAATACAAATGTTAAAATGATCAATCAATAGGAGGATTAAAAAATCTGGATTAATCATAACTCCCATCCCTCTGATTATGTTAATGATGCTAAACAATTGAGTATAAAGACTGAAAGTATAAAGAAGTACCAACTCCCTACTTTGTGTCACTCAAGTAATGACACTCCAGTTGTGGTAATAAGTATTCTTTTGATTCGCTAAAATGTGACCACCCCTTCTCCTCTACAATGCTGTTTACGCATGAGATCTTAAGAACATTATTGCAGTGTGACATTTAAGAGTGTTAGGAAATGTAAAAGTGGCTCAGAGCGCATCTTCACTCATCTAAACCACGCGAGCGAACAGATAGGATTTACCTTTGGATAAACAAAACAATCAGGATCAATTAAGTGTCTACAGCGGGCCTTTGATTGTCTCCCGTGGCAATGGCGAATCACCAAGAGCTAGCTAAAAGCCTTCATAAAACCTATTAGCTCCTCGCCGCATAAGAGGATCCAAATAAGTTACATCAGGATGAGTGTTTTTCTGAGGCCTGGTGAATGGGGGGATGAAAGCTACGCGAGACAAAGGAGAATTGATTAAAAGCAAACTCTTCAAATAAAAAGCAAAGCAAAAAAATCAATTATATTCGATGTTATTCACAACGCTCTTTAGCATTTCTGAAGACGAGACCCCGGAAAGGAGACCTCTCAAGGACGAACATATACTATAGATGCATTATAGAATTCATATCATCATCCGAGCGTGTCAACATCTGATATGGCAAGACAAGAGCATTTGCCCATATATGTTAGTAATAACGCGACTGAAAGCTTGGTAGAAATTAGGCTCGTGTCATTAAAGAGAGGAGAGGTGGAGATGTGTATTGACAAGCTCCACAGCTACATTACCTGTTGACAATCTAAAAGCTCACAGCTCAATAAGAATAATGGTCATCTATTGCAAGACAAAGTACGATCAAGCAGAAATCCGTTAAGTGGACATCTGAGTAAGCACTGGCATATGCCGAGCAGCAGGAGAGGTGGAAGTCAGTCTAAAGAGCCTCAAGAGCGCCACTCAAAACATAAAAAATATCTGTCAAGATGATAGAGACGCAAGAATAAAGCTTTTACCAGTCTCCTCTGAAAAGTAGGTTTAGCATGATTATTATATCATTATTAAATATTGAACATAAGTACTAATGCTACTAATGTGGTTCATACAGCTGAAAAACATCATATTGTCAGTGATGAATCAGGAGGCAGGTGTTGCTTTCAATAAGAAGAAAGTAAGAAGCAAGTAACACGTAAATTTACTAGTAAGTGCAACTTCAGCAGTAATGATCTCAACACCTCGCCTCCTCAACCTCAAGCAGTGGTTCTACAACTTTTCAGTACCACCTAAGAAAATATTTTGCCTTTCAAGTACGACCACATGTAAACCAGGTCTTCAACAGGACTAAACTAGATTTAAAATAGCACTACACACTATAACATTTGAACTACAACAAACCTTGGACATTGCATGCCACAAGTAGGATCCTGGATATAAGCTGTTAGTTGGCGTGTACTGCTGCAGTGAGCCTTGTCATTTTGGTCTTAAAATGTTTTTGTATTAACCTGCTCTACATGATCGTGGTGTTTTAATTTTACTATTTTGTTCATAAATACATTTCTATTCCTAATATGAAACTTGGCTCCAGATTTTTCCTTACAACTGCTAGCCTCGTGAGCTTCATTTGACTGGAACTGAACTCTATGGGAAACATCATACTCCCTTTGTCCAAGTCTTTATACAGTACAGATATACATGGCCTGCATACCACAATTTGAGAAACACTGGCCTAAAGTTTCATACATCTTTATTTACAATTACCTCTGAGGAAAACTGATGTTTAATGATATATAAAAATACTTAAAACGCTTTTCTACTTTCCACAGCAGTTATTCTTCAGTGTGATTCTCCCAAAGTCAAATAAATATTAAAATATGTCTCACAGTCGACGTTCCAGCGGATGTTTCTTGTGGACAGTTTGAGGGAGTCGTTGATTCGTTCCAACACAGTCTGCAGCTTCTGCTTCTGAGCGATCTCCGACTGCGTCACCTCTGCCACATTCAGCTTTTCACCCTCCAGTTTTTCTACAGTAAAAGACATATAATATATATTCAGTACAATCAAACATGGACCTGATTTCTTCCCATGAACTAGTACTTGAGTAAAATTTGTCTTGCTCCAGTACAACTATATTGTATAAGCAGCTCTTGAGGCCAGAATAAATGAGCTGTGTACGAAATGATCAGGAAGTGTGTGATTGGCATGCTAGTTGTTGTCAGATTTAACATGAAACTCTGCTCTGGTCTCAGAAAGTAGAGAAAAGCACATAACCTTGCCCTGTTGTGTCACTTTCACCTCTGTAGAGATAAATAAGTATAATATCATATTGTGGAACATTCCAGGAAGGTTTCAGACCCTCCAGCAGAAAAGTTACACAATGCGCCTTTAAGACAGTAAAAATCAGGTACAGAGCCTTTAACTGTTGTCATTTTCTCACCAAAAAGCTTCTGCAGCACCTGTCCGTCATATAAATCTTCAGCCAGGTCTTTCACAATGATCCTCTCTCCCACTAGAACGTCATTGATCCAGTCGATCAGCACCTGGAAGGAAAGAAAAAGGAAAAAACAGTTTTAATGTAAAGGGCTTGTCTGTAGTTTAGTTGTGCTTAATGTTGTATTCACTTGCCTTCATGAGCTCCTGTAGTTTCCGGTCATTCTTGGAGTTGGGGTCTACCATAGTCCGCACCTCATTCTCCTCTGAAATTCAGTACAGAAATGTGAAGTAGACATTATGGGTAAATTTAAAAAAACATTGAATCTTTCTAAGCTAACAACATCTTAACCGGTTTCCTCCACTACTTTTATACAAGTGTACAAGACAAGTGTATACATTTTTATAGAATAGTCTTAAATGATTGAACAAAACACACACTTCAAATTTATGTCAGTGCATAATGTGAACCAATATCTGTCAACGATTCCATCAACAATAATATTCTATTGATAATTTGCAGTGACATAATGCTGGGGGTGTTCTAACTGTACCTCTTCTGGCAAAATGTAAGTGCAAAAACTGCCAACATATTTTAATATAGTCTGAAAACAATTAATATAAGCATTCATGGTCCTGTTTAGGTGTTTCAACAAAAAGGTAAGAGTGACTGACTGAAAAAACTGCTAGTTAGCTTGTGACGGTAATTTTACGTTTCAGAGTCTTGTTTAAGCACACAAATCAGCAGTTAGTTCCAACCAAGTCAGCTCTTTCTGGTCAGACTGTGTCAAAATAAAACTAAAACCAACTGTGATAACTGTTAGATGATCAAATATAATAACCTGTTTCAAACACATTTATTTTAAAAACATGAATTTCTTCAAATATACAAACTGAAAGTGGTAGATGAAGTGAGCCTATAATGCTTGAACAGTGTATCTGGATGGTGGCACAGGGATCACAGGCAGGAAAAGCCTATGAGCTCTCCACAAAAGGATTTGGCAGCTCAAGCAGCATGTTGACTTTGGGCTAAAATGTACTTGTCCGATAATAAAGCCAGCTCATGTACCGTCACTGCAAACGCCAGGCAGCCAAAGTGCCATTTCTGCCATAACCAGAGGACACTGAACTAAAGCATTAAATTACTTTGTTTCTTTGCATCGCTTTCATCGATTTATCCTCAATGCTGCGTGCAAATGATTCTTTTGTAACTAAATATATAGCAATCAAACTATTGTATTGTGGTGTTAAATGAGTGATTCACTGACTATTTAGGGAAATAAAAACTATTGGGTGGTCAAAAATGAAATAAATATTTTTTTTTTCCATTGAGAGAAACACGCATTTATGTTGTGTGTTTACCAAGCATAGTGTCCTCAGGGTCCAGCTCGTAGTGGGAGGGGCTTAGAGGAAGGTTGATGGCATTTATCCCTTCCTCCTGGAGATCTGAAACTGAAAAGACAAGCATACACAAAATACATTATTGATTAGTACAAATTTTCTCTATTTCTTTCTATTTCTAAAAAAAACCCCACAAAAAACAGCAATGGCGTTATATATAAGTGGCCTTTTACACATATACATTACATCTGAGAAAAAAAAGTTATGATTTATATGAATGAAAATGTAAATTAAATGTAACTACAACTTTACTTCAATTTGTGAGCCTTGCTATACCTTTTAGAAATACTGATATCGGAAAATATTGGTCATGCTGATAAGATATCGCAATTGCCTTGAAGGTGCATTGTGTAATTTTTCTAGTGGATGATCAAATGCTTTTCTCCATGGAGATGATACTGCTTTGAGTGAAATGTTTCACAGTATGGTATTAAACCTTTCTATCTTCATGAAGATCAAACCAGACCAAGATACAGGTCAGATCTGTGGAGAGGCAACCCCGCTCACAGTCAGAATGCCTGTTTTTCTACGTATTTTTGAGCAATAAAATCACCTGTAATTGAATTAGTGTAAGGTGGAGCTGTTTAATGTCATACTGTGGAACAAGCAAGTGACGAACTCCACCAGAGAAGTTGCAGAATACAACTTTAAAGCAAATCCTGGACCATCCCTAAAAAATGTATAGTTTCCAATTGCTCACTATTTCTGGTACACATCTACATATTTAGGTAATGAGGTTTTTTAATATTTTTTTAGAAACTGAGTGACACAGAGTTTAACTTTGAACAGTTTGTCTCACATTTGGATTATTTCTCATAACAAATTGGTCACTGACAAAATGTGGTGTTTATTTAAAGCTGGGTGGCGATGCAAATGAGGTACTGAACTCGGATCAACAAGTCAACACCAGATCTGCATGTGTCGTACGCGTCAGGAGAACACCACACAATTAAAAGTTGACAAACAAAGTTATTTACAGCGGGTAGCACAGTGCGGCTCATATTTTAATTGGTTAAAAGGTGCACACGGGGCAGGGGGCACAGACACAGAAACACCTCAGTGAAGACCTCCAGCGTGGATTGGATGCCTCCTTAAATGTCCCCTTGATTCCACAAACAACCATTAGCAGCATCACTGTGGAGCGCTACTTGACGTCAGACACAAACAGTGTGCTGCTGTTTCCTGCCTCACAGCGGGCTTTACAGACTCCCAGCATGCCGTTCTGCGCAGTGTGTCAGATACCTCCGAAGGTTTGATCTAAGCATGGCTCTGTGTGTATGTGTGTATGTGTGTGTATGTGTGTGTGTATGTGTGTGTTAAAGAGCACAGACTGAACATCCTGTGCATGTCTCGGTTTGCACCAGAACAACATCCTTCCAATCAGACCTTACATGATCGGCTGCTTTTGTGCCCCCACTCCACAAAAACCTGAAGAGTACAGCCACATCTAAGATTATGTAGGCTGGACGATTAATCGAAATCGAATCGAGGGTAAGATCCAGTCATGTCTAATCACCAAAGAAATACTTAGATACCACTTTCTAATGAAGAGGTCTACAGCCAATCTGTTAAAGCATGTGAGTTTGCAGAAAAGATGGACTTTGGAGAAATATATTGGGCTATTTTTGTGGCACTGATTTCTGTCCTCGAAATCATGACCTAAAGTCGCAGTGTGTAAGTTTTCTGGTAGACGGGTCAGTCACCAGCTTCTCTCCATGAAGATGATAGGTTCAAGAAAATTGTAAAAAAGTGTCGTGATCGAGACATGTGTATATTTTTCTTGAGAGAGGTTTTATAACGTGATATTTTGTGCTTTTACTGTTTTGTATTGATTGCGTTGGCTGCTACCTTGGCCAGGTCTATGTTGAAAAAGAGATTCTGAATCTCAATGGGACCTCCTGGTTAAATAAAAGTAAAATTAAAATTAAATGTTGCTTGGAATGGTCTACAATGTGACATTACAGTTATTTATCTCTATGGAGACTGCAGATAACACTATAGGACCAAGTTACCAAGCAGATGCATGTTATTGAGTAAATGCAAGATGGATGCGTTTAATGCCATGTCGAGACATTCCAGACTAAGCAACAAGCAGATGGTGAATCCTCTACTAGAAATCTTAGACAGTTCACCTTAAAAGCCATTTTTAGTTTAATAAAATTGTATTGGCATTGATCAATTTAAGGAAAAAAATGAATTCATCATATCTATTTATTACCATGCATCTGAACTTTGTCATGGTTATGTAATTGGTTTGTTGTATCTATTGACTGTTAACAGTGAAAATGCATAAAAATATTAATGACAGCATTGAGCCTGACTTGAACTAGTTGTAGAGCTGGTGATACACAGAAAACAGGTACACTAGGGTGCATCATTTGCCCTAATGTCAGAAATTCAACTTGCATCCAATTTTAAAACGTGACAATACCAATTAAAAGAAATTCTGTGAAATATTAGCTCAATTTAAAGGTTGTATAGAGGATTTTCCAAGGAACGAGAAATCCAGCGACTGTTTGTCCTTTTTCAAATGTTGCGCATGCGTGAAACCACCCCCCCTCCCCTACAGCTCCTACGTAGAAACGCCTCCTCCCGCCTCCTCCTTACGCCAGAAACAGGTTTGTTTACAGCCGGTGCACATGACTTGTAAACAACTAACTACAGTGTTGGTTAGGCAAGGCGGAGAAGTGAGGAGCGGGGGGAGCGGGTGCGCGGACATTTCGTGCGCGGACGAGAAGTGAGGAGCAGGGAGAAGAGCGGAGCAGGGAGAGAGGAGAGGAGAGAGGAGAGGGGAGCGGTGCGCGGAGATTCCGTGCCCGGAGAAGTGAGGAGCAGGGGGAAGAGTGGATGGGGCAGCGGGGACAGGAGCAGGAAAGGGGAGCAGAGAAGAGTGCGCGGAGATTCAGTGCGAATGAACTAGCTACAACACGCAGCAGCAAGCGGACTCTTTCTTTGCCTTGAAAATTAAGTTTTCAGACATAGGATATCGCTTTCGTGTCCTGAAAAACATTTGTCTAGCTCTTGGAAATAAAGTACGTTTTCATAATAAGCAGAAGTGACCTGTCCAGGAGTAATTTGGCGACCGTGCGTCAGTCTTTAGACCCTGCGTCTGCTTCAGTTGCGCCATCGCTGGAATGAATCTACAAGAATCCCCTTAGTTTGGCTTTGCTGCTTTTCCCCTTGTCTTCTTCTTTCAGCGACCTCAAAAACGGACTTTCTTTTGCGGCGAACTGCTCCTGGATTCTTGTCGCCATTGCAACAAACTTTGTGCTAACTGCGAGGAAGATATAGGTAAAAAAAAGCCGCTAAGAACTGTTGCATTGGTGGAGTAAACAGCGTCTGTGCGGCTTGCATCTGTGGACTGCGTGACAGGCGTACGTAAACCACGTACTGACGGCGCGCAGGCAAGTCAGTTACGCTAGAAACGTAGGGAGATTGATTGACAGCCTGTCAGCTAACAGATAACGAGGCAATGTCGTTATCTATTGACAAATGTTTAGCCCCACCACGTCCAGAGTTGATGAATTTTTATTCTCTTTTTTTTGGTCATCATAATTACAAGGCTACTGCACCTCTATAATGCTATCATTGACAATTTGAAACAAAAAAAAATCCTCCATACAACCTTTAAGATCTACTGGGTCGACCAAGCCTCTTAAGTTCCATCCTTATGGCATCCATAAGGCTCTCGCAGAAAAATCTTCTTTTCTCAAATAACTCCATAACTAAATAAATCCATTTAGGGCTATTTAGGGCAATGAAAGTTGAATATAAATGTCGCTATTGCTATTTGCTATCTCTATCTTCATAACTTTCTAAGATAATTTTGTCAAGATTGAGTGCTTTTTCATAATTATCCAATATCCACAAACGCCAAAGATGAAATGAGAGACATAAAGTTTGTACTCTTTTTGTAGTGATCATAGAAAAAGTGAAGTAAGTGAGTGTGACGTTATCCATAGTGCCCCAGTGACAGTTGTGGCTGAGGGTTTTGTAAACCCAAGTTCCAGAAAGGATAAGGTTAATGAGGTTAGGATAAGGTTAAAGGATAATATTATTAAAGAAAAACAGATTTTTCCAATCAGATTTAAGGCTTCCGCAGGCACTAAACTTCAGAGGCTTGGTGGACCCAGTAGACATCAATAGAATTTCATGAAATTTCTCACAGAAGTTTACTTTTGCAAGTGTAAAAAGTTGATACTAGATGCAGATTGATTTTCAAAATTTTTTCAAAAACTTGGGAAAATGATGCACCCTAAGGTACACACATACTGAAAATAGGCCTGTCTCGATAATTACTATCTCAACTTATCGTTCAATATTCATCATGTGTACATTTTCTTTGAATTATTGGGAAATTTGTGGGGTAGCTATATGATAAGATTTAAGCCCTAAAAGGTTGAATTAAACTACAGTGTTTCTTTCTGCTGTTTATTAACTGCAGCTTATGACTTTTTAACAATATTGTTATTGTATTTAGAATAGTTTTTGTGGTTTAAATCTGCTCTTGGGCTATTGTATCAGTGGCAGAAAATTAGTTTCAGAATTATCGTTTATCACTTATATTTACTTACAGTATATTGTACTTCAAAATTTGTTATCATGATCGGCCTAAGTGAAAACCATTTCGGTTTAATCTGTGGTCCAGGCATTAATACAGGTCTTTACATCTCATAAGCAGTGAGCCAGGCTGAATTCCAGGGGAGGGACAGTGGGATAAGAGCACAGATGTGGAAGCCTATAATAGCTACTGTCAGTGGTTCGCAATTCACAGATTGGTGAAGGGTTATAGCAGCTATACATTAACACCAGCCCAATTAGCAAGGGCTCTAACTCCAAGCATCACATGAGCTATTTAAAGATGACAGAGTCTGTGCATCCAGGAGGAAGGGGGTGAGCTGCATCCTAGTATTTATAACAAAAGAGTGAACAGCACAAGAAACGATCCAAGTATGCGATTGACAAACTACCACAAAGAGACTACAGCTTGTACATCTTATTCTATGTCCACTCACATTCACCTCAGTGGACACTGGATGTGATTGGCGTGTGCATATTTCTCCTCCCCCTTCTGCCCCATAGACACACTCACATGAACCTGCTGTTTAAATAAAGCCCACAATAAAACAGTCACTCACGTAGCGGGATGTTGACAAGACAGCATCCTACCTAGAGGACAGAAAGCTCCACATCCCATATTTAGTCGTCTCCGTTCCCCAGTCTTAGGCATCGTCTCCTGGCTAACACCTCCGTGGCTTGTAGCTCATTTTCCAAGGACCGGGCTAGTGTCTCTCCTAGCCAGCAACAGTGTCGTTTCTTGGGACAATTTCCAAATGCAGTACTGAAACTGAACTTATCGCGGTCCTTCTTTGGTAGTCCTTCTTTTACAAAATCGCTTTCTTGTCTTAAGTCGTGAGTGTAGCAGCAGAGTGCAGTGCCATAAATATCGCAGACTTTAATTTAATCAATGCTCGCACAAGAGCGGGACCAGCCCACCCTTTTCCATCAAATCATAAAGCTGCATATGTGTGTGTGTGTGTTGGGCCTGTATTGAGCACGAGCCAATGTAGGAGTGAGGGACAAAAGCAGACTCAAATGGGGCTCAGCTGGTCAACAACATCCTGAATGACACCAAGTAATCATCCAATTGAACAAGACCTTTCCCATCTCATCATAAAACCTGGCCTTTAACCGTGAATGTCAGGCCCACTGAAGCCCACAATGAGGCCATGGTCAGCTATAAACCCACCTCCACAAAGGAACAGGTGCTGGTGAAGTCCTCCATTTACAGAATATCTTAATATCTTATTCTGAGATAGCTGATATATAGAAAAATGCACTGAAGGCTGCCGATTTATACACATGTTAAAGGGTCTATATTACGCTATTTTCTGATCTGTTTTGTAATGTTTACTCATCACAGACATACCTGTAGTTGTGTTTTGTTTCATTCACACATATGTAACACACAAATCCTGCATATTTAGCTGAGTTCTTCACTCAAACTGAAAACTCTGTTCTACCTTGTGTTGTCATATGGTAATGTGACTGTGTTTTTAAACTCCATACACTGCCAGTAAAATCATTTGTATGATTTCAGACCTGGAATTGCCAGTTTCTACTCAACAAATGGTGAAAGGTAGCAGCTGACTTGAAAATTACAGCTTCATGACATCACAAGGTGGAACAGAGCATTATGAGCTTTGGAGATGTAAATAGACTAATAATAAAGGGTGACTTGAAAATGTGTGAATGAAACAAAACGCCACTCCAGGTATGTTTTTGATGAGGTAAAAACATAATAACATGACTTCAAGTTCATAATTGTCAATTTTGGGTAATATAGGACTTTTAACAAGCATGACATTACATAATCAAATCAAAATCATAATTTCAGTAGGTGCATTTTATCATATCTCAATGTCTGCAATTATTCAGATAGAATGCTCACTGTAAACAAAGAAATGTCCTTTTATTGACAAAACAGTAGTTGACCTTTCAGTTTCTAGACCTCTACAAATATGTTCTGAAATGCATGAGGTTATTGCATTAGTTGTGAAAGTGAAATTAAAGGTAGGGAGAGTTTTCCTGTTTATAGGCAATAACTTGTGGACTTTTTACTGTTCAAAGCAATGAACAATTTGAAATGAAATATTCCATGGCAAGAGGTTATTTATTCACAAATTTTTCTCTTTCTTTCTTTTTTTTTTAAACGGCATAGGTAGGCTACTGATCATAATGTATTCTATTATGAAGTTATTGGTCACTGCTGAGGAGTTTAACTCAGTTTATACACTTTAGTCCAAGTATGTTGAAGGCCAGAGTATTAGATATATTTTTATGAACATTACATTGAATGGAGCATTGAGCACTGAGCATTGAGCACTGAGCAGGCCGGATGGGGCCAATGTCCTCTCGAGGCACATCGGTTCATTCATGTCTATTGTCAAGTCTTTTATAAGCGTCCATGAGCAAAATACTGCAGCATTGAAGGATCAGATGACCTTTGACCTTTTTTATATAGGCAGAAATTCTCTTATTAATAACACTGGTTACATCCTGTGTCAGTGTAAGTCTATGGGGAGGCCTCAATCCCCATGCGTAATAGAGGATTTGTTACCATACATGGAGAAGACGCAGCCTGGGGATACGCATTTCATAAATAAAAACTAGTCTGTGCAGTAACTAGTCAAGTCGTAACACAATAAATTATTTACGTCATTTTGATTAAAAGAAGTTGTTTTACGATCATAAAATCATCATAATGAAAGTTTTGAAAAAGTTTTAGCTTGTTGAGAGGTGGATGGGAAACACTTCCAGAGGTGGACAGTGAACCTTATCTTCAAAACGAAACATGCAGATAAAACATGTTATACGAGTTTCGATTTGATTTTGTTAGCCATTTACCTTCTTTAGCTTTTTTCCTCCTGGCCAAAGTTCCACCGAGTTTGCCCAGAAAAGAGTCATCTTTCTTTCGGGAGGACGGAGACTTTGGCGTCGGGGATTTTGGAGAGGACGGGGACTTCTGAGGCGAAGAGGCCATTGTCGTAAAATTATATGAATCCAAGATGCTTCAGTATGGACAGATGTGCAGAGAAAAGTTAGCCTAGAGTTACTAAAAACAGAAAAATCTGCGTCCACTCCCTAAAGCGGAAACGGAATTCCAAGCATTTTCTCCCGAAGTTGGCCGAGTGTTAGGCCCCTCCTCCCGAGTCCTGTCCCGCTGTGGGAGGAGGGAGTCCGGGCTGTGGATGGAGCAGCGCACCACGAGCAGCTCGTCTGTTTCAATATGACTGTAAGTAAACTCGTATCCAAAAAACACAACATCTGATAGTTTGTTTAATTTGTGGATGTTGCAATTTGCGAGTAACATAGTCTGAACTAACAATGGTCTCTGATTTAAAGATGTAACTTTTCAGGTGAACTTGTGTCTGTGAAGATGCTTTGTCTAGAATGTCTGCATTAAACGTATCCATCGTCTATATCTTAATTGCAGGCATTTTTGTTGCTTCAAAAAATACCTTAAAACGTGCCTTCATACTGTGAGTGGATGTCTTCTACAGCTACAACAACTCACAACAACTCACCCTTATGTAATGGATAATCCTCTGCCCTGTCAGTCATCATATCATTGTTGCACTGTCTTCCTATGGCCTCTTGTATTAAGCTGTGATATTATTTTACTACTTATCTATTTTATTTTTACTTGTACATTTACATTTATATAATTATGTTTTGACACCTGTCTCTTGCTCTTTTTTGCTACTTATTTAGAATTTATTATTACCATTTATATTTTTCCCTCTTTGTTATTATATTTATTGTGATGTGTGAGCTACTGTGTCCAAATAATTTCCCTGTGGATCAATAAAGTTTGTCTAAGTTAAATTTGACAGGCAACTTGGTCTAGTAGTGCCACCTGCTTGTCTCTATGGAGATAGTTAAGTTTATGCCATACAGTGGAACATTCCAGGCAAAGAAATAACATCGCCATGGAGACAAGCAGGTGGTGGCTTTTGATTTCCAAATTGAAATACTTCAGTGGATGACGACACAGTAGGAAGAAATAGTATCACATATTTTCCAAACAAGCCTACGTAAGGATTGAACATTTCATACTTGAATGTAAAAGGCCTGCTTGTTCAAACTAAATATACATATTTAATTAAAAGGGAGTTAACAATGTAATAAAGCGCCAAATGATGAATACAAATATTTAACATTAATTATCTTTATTAAACATAATTAAATACAATCAAACAATAAGATCACACACACACAGTGGGCAAACATGAGAAGTCACAATTCAACCATGACCATGCAAACGCACAACGCACAGGACCTCAGCATGATTCACAGCCTCACAGCGAGGATTTCAATGTTGCTTTTTGTAGATAAGATAAAAATTTGTTAAATAAAGTGGAAATAATGTGCAATTAAACTGACATTACAGTACAGTTATGGTCTTTACTGATTCAACTGTGGTAATACATTTAAATGTCATGAACACTAAAATACAAAACAAAAACTGTAAAATACACTCGCTTTATGCAATGCCTACAAAACATCAACATTATCGTCTGAATAGTTTTCGGCTCATTTGTTGCAAAATCAAGATGTGCAAAAGTACAAAGTAGACAGCTAATTAAAGTAGTGTTGGTGAATCAGTGTAATAAGCCAGTGTTTCCCTCAGGTTTTTACAAGATTATGGTGGCACAGGCAATCCTTAAAAAAAAATTATAATAAAAAAAAAATGGGGGAGTAAATATGCCACTTATTGCTTCTTTTAATTAAACAGACTGATAATATATTAAATAAAATGTTACATGTATATTTATTATAATATAACAAGCAAAATATTTTTACTTTTTTATATTCATATTTATACATTTAATATTTTTAATATTTTTTACCAAGTTATTGCTCAGTTTGATTTAGACTACTGGGGGACACCATAGTCTCCTCTATGAAACACTGAGTAATCACATCCCTCTATGTCTGTACAAAGTTAATGTGGCTCCAGAGCTGGTAAAGCACAGTGTAGTTCCTATGCCAACAGAAACCCTCGTCTTCTTTTTAAAAAAATGTTGTGCCAAGCGTTGCCACGGGGTTCGCCCCTTCACCCATCAGGCCCATCCCCTTGATCCTGCTCCTCGCCGTCGTCCAGGTGGGCCCAGTGGAACTCGTATCCCCGTGACAACAGCAGGCTCTCGAGGTCCCTGTCCTCTGCTCGCTCCTTCAGTCTCTGCTCCTCCAGGGCACATACGAGCTTGTCCCTCCGCTCCACTGTCCTCATGATCTCTGCCAACATCTCCTGTTCCTGCTGCAGCTCTGAAGCACTCTTCTTGGTGTCTGCACATAGGAGATTCATAATGTTTATTTAGTTATAAAGCTCTGTTGTGTTGTGGGTATGTTTTTCAATGTGGTTTTATTTTGTGAATGGTAAACAGATATTTTTTAAGGATATGAAAAATATAGTTTCATTGTTTTCAAATCAACAGTGACTGAAAAATGGTCAGCAAATCTCATGCAACCATGACTGTAGTAGTTAGAATAGTCTGACAAAAGTATAATTTAAGGATGAATAAATAGAAAGTGAAGGGTCTGATGAGCTGGGTGTAATGACCCTCAAATGGATGTGCTTAATCACTTGAAATGACACCAACCATGGCATACTTGGGCTGAAGTCAACTAAAGAAATTCATGGTCTATGTTTTATTTTCTGTCTGTTCCTATACCATTGTAAGAAATTCATGGTCTACAAATGAAGACGTGCATCAGTTAATCAACTAAAAGTGGGGGCAGCATGGTGCTGGCCAGAAAAGTTATTACTATCTTGTGCAAAAATTACTATTATAGACAGAATAGTCAGTACTAGTAAACAGCATCTTCATAAGTGAAATGGCAGATTAAACTGTCCAGTTACTTCCAAAATCCCTGCTAACTCACTTCATTCCTTTTAATCAAATTAAATAATTAGTTAGCTAATTAGACATTGACCGATTATAGACTTAATGACTAAAGGACTAAAATCCTACCCATGCTTTTGATTAACAGGTCTCAAAAGAAGTATTTATTGACCTTGTCTCAGCTAAAATCCAATCTTTTCATTATATATATTTATATATTTTAGTTTATAAGGAGTCCTTACCCTCTACTGCCATTCGTTTCCTTAGTTCTTGCTGCAGCCTGCTCTGTGTATCTTCCAGTTCAAGCTCTTGAGCACTAATGAGAAAAAAAGATTTCATTGTTAGTCATATATAGTTACATTTATAGTTACATTTTTATTATTCTAAACTCAGATTTTCTACATACAAGATCATTAACTCGGACTCATAACGAGCCAGTCTGTTCTTCTCCAAAACTAGTTTGAACCAGGTCTGATACAGCTGGGCTTCATCTCTGTCATCTGAATGGGACTTTTCTGTCAAAAGGAGAAAGAAGAGTTATTATGGAGTGAAATAAGATGAATGAAGAGGAAACATCTCAGCACAGTGGCAGCACCATAGACTTTTTAAACCAATTATATACAACTGATAGAAAAGGCAGCTATGCACTCAGATCAAATCTCAATGGCAAAAGTACACCCGAAGGACATCTGCTATGCCTCAACCTGACAAGAACACACTACGCACTATACAAGACCAAACAAAGGCCGGTACTGTAAAAAGATGTGGCAACAATGAAGAGTCACTGTTCTTTGTGAGTACCACCATTAGCTGTATGCTTTTAACCACACCACTGTTACTAAATGGGCCGAGAAGTCCACAGAGGAAAAATGTGGCTTTTACAGAAAAATTCAATGGAAGCTCCACTGTATTCGTCCAAAGTGTTGATGATGGCAATGTGACAGAGTCTGGTAATTATGAGGCATGTGGCTGATTGAGGATTTGAAGCACCGATGCATTGATCATTGTCTGTGATTCTAAGTACCTGCTTCTCCTCTTATGAGCTTCTCTATAGCAACACCTCGCTCTTCCAGGTTCCTCTGTTTCTCTCCGACCTCCTCCAGTTGTCTCTGAATTGCCTAAGAAATGGAGATTATACACTGTAAGCAAGTGGCAGTATTTACATGTGTATGGGTACGCCTGTATGGAACTCACAACCTTCTGGTTAGAGGGCAAATACCAACTGGCTGAGCTTTTTACTGCCCCTTTTTAGACTTATATGTAAAGGTTTCATTAAGATTTAAGATAATCTGACTTCAGAGTTTAATGCTCTGCTTGTGCATTTAACATTTTTAACTATTCTTTTACCAAAATAAACAAACCTTCTGAACATTAATGTCTAAAAATGTGTGTAAACAGCTCAAATATTCCAAATGCATATATGTTATACGTTGTACCTGAGCTCTGTGCAGCCTCTTCAGCTGGTCCCTTTTGGCCTGCTGAGCCTGAATCTTCTCCTGCCTCCTCCTCTGCCGGTCTGGGTGCCACTGGAAACACACACAAAAGTTAAAATAACACTTTTAAAAATGTTTAAGTAAAAACGATTGGTACTAACCTTCTTTGTGAACACTGGGTTATCATTTTCATCTTCACTGGAGGACAGTTCTTGCAGGCTCTGCTGACTGGAGGCTAAAAACAAAAAAAGACATTAAAGACATTTCCTTATTTTAAATGATATGTGACCTGTGGCATGTAACAAAGATTTATAAACCCTAGAGACCTTTGTTTCTGAGGTTGGTGAGGATGGTCCTGATCTCCTCGCTCTCTCCACCCTGCCTCTTCCTGAGGCGCAGAGAGGAGAACAGATCGACTCTGCGCCGGGGCAGGTGCGCCTCAGACACCCTCCTGCTCTTTAGTGACACCTGCTGGAGTAGAGAGGGCAGGTCCCGACCAGCACCCCAAGGGTCAGAGCTCACACTGGGTACTTCACTGCCCAATTTGTGCTTGTCGGAGCCCAACTCTGCTGAGCTGAACAGGGAGCTGAAGTTAAAAGCACCTTCAGACATCGGCCTTGGTCTGCGAGATCCATCCCGCTTTGGCCTCCTAAAAATATCAATACATTTTAAACCTTATAGCTACAAGGTCACAACACAAAGGAGATGGGGAACTAATAAATTTTTTTGCAAAAGAATTTAGAAATGCTTTAATTCTTTACTAAATTATAAATTTCATTCATTTTGACAATTTAATTCCCAGTCTAATGTTCTCAAATGCTAATGTTCTCTCCTAGCCACCAAAAAAGAAACATACAATAAAAATGCCTGTGTCTACAGTACACTATGTTAATGATGGGAACTAGCTACATACATGTACTGAAAACAGATATTCAGAATACTAATTTTGAGTATCTGTATTACAGTACAGTCATGCTTTCAGCTGGTGATATTCAGAACACTGTTACTATTCAAAAACAGAAGGAATACACTTATATTTGATTATCCAGTTTAGGCTTCAAGCTGCACAGAATCAGTGAGAAAAACAGAAAAGAGCACTCTACATTTTACAGCAAGTATTCAATATTCTGCCACTGAATTCATTTTCAAAGTATTATTCTGCTATTATTGCTAACCATCAGAGGGTTATTTTGATATAAAAATAGTGTTTCATGATGCGTGTTTAATAATGAACACTTTAGTAACCTGTGATATCAGAGATTTAACACAGGGTTGTACACATAAGCTGTCAGGGTACATACATAATGACAGTGGAGTTTGGGCTGCTGGGATGGTTCTTCCTGAAGGCACTGGCGATGAGCTGGAAGACTGAGGATGGAGGGTTCTGGCTCTGGGCTGGATCCTGGACTAGGTCTATCTGGGCTTTATCTCCCATTGAGTCTGTTTGCACCTGATAAGACATCAGAGCAGGGAAAAACACTCACATACAGAAATAATTCCCCTTATCTCATACACATCATTATCTGTGGACTATTTTGATAGCCAATTCAAAAATTCAGAAACAGATCCAAGTGTTCAAACTAGGCCAGAGTGAACTTTCAGAGTATCAAAATAAATTACTATAGTTTTAGTAGTATATTATTTTTATTTCTCAGAATTATAAAACATTTTTTAAAAGTATATTTATTTTCTAGAAAGTGACAAATATTTTTTTTTATATTATGATGTTAAATTAAAGATCTCACATTACAGTATTTTTGATCTGATAATATTCATTGATTACTCCAGCATCTGAAATTGCCGGTCTCTACTGAACAAAAAAATAAAACGTGGCTGTAAACTAACCCTACATGAGATCACAAGGTGGAACAGAGCATTTTGAGCTTTGGAGATGTAGACTAATAATAATTGTTACTCAAGCATGTGTGAATGAAACAAAATGCACCTCTGGATATGTTTTTGATGAGGTAACAACATTATAACATGGTTTAAAACCTCCAAGAATCCATTTTGTGCACTATAGGACCTTTGAATTTCAAAGCTCATCTACCTGTTCATTGTGTTCTTCTGTTTTGGCTTCACTTTTGTTTATTTGTCTTGATGCTTCTTCAGTAGTGACCACATCCCAGTCCAACAGCTTTTCCTTCTCACACACAGGGATGGTGAGGCGCTTCTTTGGGGCTGGTGCACGCTCTCCTGCCTTTGACTTGGCAGAGGACTGTTCCCTCTCCTCTTTCCCCTCTGAAGGACATTGGGGATCTGCCTTCGAACATTCAGGCAAAACCTTCAAAGTGAAACAATGCAGATGCATTTAAATTCAGTAAAGTGTGAAATGAGTTACAGATTTACCACCTGAATATCACTGGACTTTAAAAATAAATATTAACCATTTGTGCTACAGCTGTAGACGTCAAAACCCTTAAAGGCCCTATATAACACAAAATTGATTGTTGTGAGCTTTACGCCATGTTACAGTGTTGTTACCTCCTCAAAACCATGCCTGGAGTTGTGTTTTGTTTCATTCACAAATGTTTGAGTCTGTCTACATCTCCAGAGCTCAAAATGCTGTGGTCCACCTTGTGATGTCATGAAGCTATACCTTTTATCTTTAGTTCAGTATAGATCATGGTTGAAATTTTTGGTATTACCATATGACATCACAAGGTGGAACAGAGTATTTTCTGACTGAGAAAATAACTCAGCCTAAATATGTAGGGTTTGTGCATGTGTGAATGAAGTAAAACACTACTCCATGCATGTTTTTGAGGAGGTAGCAACATGATAACATGACCAGAAAACAGCGTAATATTGTACTCCATTCTTCACTTTTCAGACACACCAATTTGATCAAGTTCCTATTAAAATAAATAAATAAGGCCTCATTGCTTGGTAGTGGTATACAGCACAAAGTATAAACATACATGGCTGTCTGCTGGTGTGAGATCCTCAAAGTCAGAGTCTGCCTCAGGGACAGTTTCAGGGCCTGGTTTGTCTCCAGACCAACTCCTCTGGAAATGTTTGACAAAGATCAAAGGGAAGGCTGCAACACAACACACAAAATATTACATTAACACCCACATGATTATCCAACATGATCCTATTACTGAAGTTGTATTGGTTACATCAATGTCCTTCTGGGCTATGTCTATGTTGAACACAATAAAACTCAGGATAGACCACCCACAAATGCAAGACAAACCTGAGAAAATACTATGCAAAAGATAGAAAGCCATCCTATTTTAAAATGAAATGCCTACAAGGGGAAATGCTATACTCTGTCTATTCTAATTTCAAACAAAAAAGTACAGCTGCTGAGGGCAGAAACGGTGAAGTGTTTTGAAAATTACTTGTTAAAAGTATTCATGATGCTTTTAGCAAAAAGTTGACAATATAATTCAATGGATTTGGAATAATTAAATGTAACTAATGTGTTTGCAAGTCAAAGATTAGACAATAAGAAACTTGATACAAAACAGCTAAGGCTGCCCTCTAGTGGAGTACATGTTGCATTACAGAAATTTATATTTTAATATAACAATATAAATATATATATATATATTTCATATTAGGTGTCTCGGGCAAGACCTGTCTGTGCATATAATTTTGTGTAATTGAGAGACTAGTGGTGGTTGGAGACATGTGCATGATGTCGGTGCTTCAGAGCAGCTCTTGTTACACTATCAAGTGGTGAAATGAAAGACGTGGCCTGTTGTGCTTTTTGAAGCTTGTTCACATTCATATGATCGTCATACAGAAAGGTGGTCATACTCACTGGCCTGGATTTTCCGTTTCCATCGATGGCTCTGTTTGGCATTAGTCTGATCTGTTGATGATAATCAAGAAAAAATACTTCAAGTCTGTATTGTTTAGGGCAATAAATAAATAAATCACACCTTGTGCCATGTGTATGTTTGTTAATATTATATATCGTACTGTATATTATAATATGAATGACTCTTGCACATACAGTAGGCAGTGCCAGGGCTCTATCTCAGTAGTGATCAGAGATGGACTGTTCAGACAGGAAATTACAGTCCAGAAAAAACAAACATGAGGCTGTATGAAAAGCCACAGTGAGAGAACCGCACCCTGGTGTCGCAGACTCAACCCACCAGGCTCACTCCCAACACAAACATCACATATTCATGAAGCAGAGCTGCTCAGAGTTCAGTCAGTCTAAGATGCTCCCTCAGGGAATATCAACTATTCAATTCATGTATTGCATAACAGAGCAAAAACACAACACTGCTGATTTCTATTAGTCATGTTAGGTTTGCCGAGGACTTCTGTAGAAGCAACTGTATCAAAATGTAATTATTTTCATTTTGGTTCCAAATGGCGACTATCATTTTAGTGATTCTATATTTAACTGTTACAGCGACACAAACAGACAATGTGCAGAGCTGTGTTTAGGGGGTAGTCAATGTCCACAGGACAATCTGAGTGGCACCACAAGTTCCACCTCATTCTGCTGGGGCAGGGGTAGTTGCCAATTTCAGCTGAATTTCATATTGTCACGGTGAATTAAAATCTGGCTTCAGGTTTGGTTGACTCTGGGACCACCCCAGTGAAAAAAGTCTAGACACACCCTTGACATTCTGGAATGATAAGAATTAGTAGCAGATGATTGTGATGATGATTCCCATGATTGAACTAAAAAGTTAAATAATAAGAAGTGAAAAGTAACATCAACTGACACAATTCAAAGTAAATCTACTCATACAAACCTTTGAGACCACCCTGGCTTGTGGCCTTGGTTTCCTCCGGTTCATTTGAGGCAGTGACCAGACACGATGCTTCCAGAGCTTCCCTCGCCATCTCTGTATCAGTCTGAGTGCCCCCAGTCTCATGCTCCACACCTACAAATAAAAACACAAATAAGCTCCTCAAACACATTAAAGTAGGAAACACATCCCATGCATTGGTATCTACTTGTACATAATATATCCCCCAGTTTTTATTTTAGCTACATGATGGACCAAAGAATACAAAAGCAAGGTAAGTACTCACAGAGGAAAGAGATGATCCCACTTGGTTACAGCAAAGAAAGGACATTTGTTGGAATGGTTCACTTAATGCTCCAAACGTATTAATATTTTAATGATGAATTTGAGGATGTGTAGGGAAAGGATAGAGCAGACCCACAAGCCCATCAGAAGACCACGTCATTCACTTCAGTTCTGTTCGCGTCAGATACATTTGGTTGGCTACACAGATGTGAGTCTTAGTCTGCAGTTAATTAATGTTACATGTTGTGTCTTTATTCAAAAAGATGAGATTGTGAAGTTAATTTGTGTCATGTTAGATAGACAAGTATTTGTCTCATACTAGTTGTGTATTAGTTTGAAGTCACCCTTTAGCTAATGAGCCAATTTGAATGAACCAAATACAAACTAAAACAGAGGAACACACAGGGACGCAAATAAATTAAGCAATATTTTTATTTTAGATTCTATTTACAGCTTTACAGCATATTTACAACTTAATTTTATTGGACAATACTTAATAATTACTGTAAAACAGTTACCGTACAGCCAGCAAATTGGCAATGTGCAAAAAGTAGACAGTAGAAGAATACTGAATAAATCTTCAGTATTGTTTATAAATAAAGCTACAACACAATCGGGAGGCACTTAGCCCACCCACTATCCATAATGTGTGGATAAAGCTGAGTTTCTGGGCAGTTTTACTTAGGAGAGACATGAGAGGGACCGGGACAGGGGCTCTGAGGGGGCGGGGCCTTCGTCTGAAAGAAAGGGAACCACAGACACCAGACAGACAGATGACGAGGTTACTCTTAATGGGCCGGACAATGAGACAGCACAAACTGGCTGTGGTGGTTAGGGAGGTTAGAGCAAAACATCACAAGATGAGTGTTAGTTTTTATAAGTTACACGTAAGCTCAGAGTTTAAATGAGCATATCAAATATTAAAATAGCAGAGATCATCATAATTATATTGAACTTGTATCCATTTGCAGTCTAATAAAGTGGTTTATAAGGCAGGTGTGCATAGAATGGTTAACTAAAGCACAAAGGCATTGACTGCATTTGGCTCTTTTGAGGTATTTTGAGGTAAACTGAGTACATGCTACCTCCACAAACATGCAGTATTCATGCTCTATGGTGGTTAGCTGTCCAAATGTGTAGCTCAGCCAATGCAAACGTTAAACTACAATCGTATAGCCATCACCTTTCCCATTGGAGGAAATCAGCCAATCAGGGGATGCAGCATTGGAAACATACAACGGACTGAGCAAAATGAAGTGAATGAGAAACAAAACAAAGAATTTAGAAAAATGGATGAGGGAAAAATGAAATTGGAATAGGGAAAAAAGAGACAAGTGAAACATAAATTACAGAAAGAACTTACACACAAACTTACTGTATGAGTAAAACATTTAGACAAATGTTTACCCAAAAACCCCCTCAGGCAATACTCCTGAACTACTAAAATTATTTTATTCATTAGAAAAGCAGCATTGGCGATTCAGAAATGTAGCTTTGGTTTGTTTGTTTTTAGTCATAAAGAACTAAGTGCTCTGGAAAAAATAAATACAATTCTAAGAAAATATAAAACAACATGGTAGATAAAAGTGATAGTTAATCAAATTAATAGTATTAGTTGATAACAATAATAGTTAGATATGGGTGTATACTGTACTGTAAGTGTTGCCTGCAGTGTTACTATGGAGCAGACGAAATGCAGTCAGTATAAAAACTTGAAAACTCATTGACACAGGCACACTCCAGGCTGTTATGCAACACACAGCATCTTAGACCAACAAATACAAGCTATTAACTAAAATTAATAAACAGGTTTTACACTGTTGTCAACCTCATAAATAAGCATTTGGTCTTATTTGGATATGATTTATATCTGCACAGGGTCTCGGCAGGTCACAGCTTGGACTAAGCCTTGGTCAAGAGTACATACCCAGTGATTCATGAGTATCAAAACCCTGGTGTAAACTACAGGGATTTATATAAAATAAATATAAAACAAAAATACAAAGGACACTTTGAATCATAAGATACTCCAGCATTTACTATACTGATTGAGGCTAAGGTGACTAGCCCAGGTCTATGTGAGCTGGTTGAACTGTTCCTGGTACATCTGACTGGACACCTCATGCATCATGTACAGCAAAGGAACAGACACAGTCAGCAGCTCATAGAGATACTCATAGTCATGTGAGTGGCTCCTCAAGTGGGACCCCACAGCTGCCACACACCCCCACACATTCCCCAGCACCCTTTGAGGCAACACACAAGCAGCCCGGGTTGCACGCCTTGGCCAGTACAGGCCTTGCCTAAGCAATGAAACCATGGTACCTGCCACTGCATCAGTGCTGGCTGCTGTGCAGGCCTGAGTGTTATTCTGGCTTTGGTCATCCTGCACAAATACAGTTACAAGTCAAAGTCAGATCCACATACATTTGTTGTATGTAACCTCTTCTATAGGTATTGCTCACCGTTCGTCTCCCAAACTTTCCAAAAATAGTGCTTGATAGGTGTTGGGCATAATGTACTTTGCAGTAGAACTTTCCTGTCATTCAAACACACAGATGTACATGTAGTGAGTAGTGACCACTTCAGAACATCTCTAAAACTGTAAAATGGTTGTTTTCTGCATAAGCTCTAGCTTAAGTTGTGCCCTAACACCAGGTGTGTTGCGTACCTTCTCGTGAGTCGTATGTGTGCGTGCCCAGCCGTAGCACACAGTTACAGACGTCACAGCGGAAACAGTCGCGGTGGAAAAAGTGTCCGTCTGCACTGAGCCTCTCCATCACATAAACTCGCTTGGAGCAGAAGTGGCAGGTGTCACTCCCGCCGAGGGTAGGAGCAAAGCCCCCACGACCAACGCACTGTGGGACAGAGAGAAACCACAGAATTCCGTTTTAAAATCATTCTAATGATGCAGAGATGAACAGGATCTCATTTGTTAGATGAACGCGCACACCAGCAGGTTGTGTAAGGCTGTGCACAACTCAACATTAGAACAAACCATCAATCCAGCATCATGTTAATAGTTTTCAGCAGGTGTAAAATACATAACTAAAATCAATGAGCAGATGTAAGACATGCTTTGAACAGCCACTTCCATCTTACCGGCGCCGCATTTGGCCTGTGATCGGTCTCATACATGATGGCCAACTTTTGTGCTCTAGCATCTATGGCTGAGGAAACCTTTCCAATGGTACGCTAATGTCACACATACCACATGAAACATGAAGACATGACATGAAGGGAAAAAAGAGAGTTACAGAGAGAAGCATAGAAATATAATAATGAAGGAAGAACAGAACTGGACTGTTTATGATACCTCTTTCAGATAACTAGGGGCAGCTGCCGGGCAACTCTCAGAGCGAACAAAAGACTGCTGAACAGGACTTTTGGAGCTCACATGACACTAACATCACAAGAACAGAAGCAGCAGAATTATTTTTATTCTACCTTTATTTTACCTTTATTTTACCAAGAAATCTCTTAAGATAAAATATATTTTTTGAGGGAGACCTGGCCAAAAGGCACCTTTTTGTTTAATATGCTGTATTAAACAACAAAATAAAACGGTACATTTAAGAAATATATTTGTGTAATTTTGCACATATTTATACAAATTTCATTTACAAAATTTTAAGTAAAATAACATAATTTATATAAAAAAAATACTGTAACTGCAACATCAAATCAGGTTTTCAAATGTGTCAACTCCAAAGGGTAGCCATGATTAAAAGATGACATAAAAAACATAAAACATGTGACATTATTGTTCTGCATAATTTGAGTAAACAGTTATGATGTAATTACTTTACTATTTATCAATTTACTATATCAAATGATGGCCATATTTTAAATACTTCGCAGGATTACCTTTGTGGAATCATTTTCACCCAAAAGGTCCTGAGTTACAGGGTTTTGACTGTGTTCAAGTGGAGAATTAGGCAGACAGGGGGAGCTGTTGTGTCCATTTTCACAGTTCAAGTTGGGTAGGGGAGTTGAAGTGCTCTTTCTGTTTGGGCATTTTTCTTTGGATATAGCTTTATGTTCAGCTACAGCTACATAAGACCGATGAGAAGAGGAATCCTCCAGAGTCAAGTTTTCAAATGTAGCAGCAGCGGGGGCAGGAGAAGAGGAGAAACCATTCTGGGCTGTAGGATCTGGGACAGGGTGGACAGTGGGGTAGTTGGGAAGTTTAGAGAAAGAAGATGGAGCAGAAGATGAGGACGAAAGGGAAGAAGCATCCTGCAGAAGGAGAAGGGAGAGAGAAAATTGACAAGGAATGAATAAGTGATGTAGTGTGCACTACCGGACACTGGGATGTAGTTCAAATGTACGTATATGTGAATAGATTTTTAGCTAATATTAAAACCTAACCTGTTTCTCTGAAACAGAAGTTGCTGGAGTTTTGCTGGAACCAGAAAACAAAGAAGAGAGGAGGACTGCTCTCTCTTGTATACTCCTTTTGGTAAATTCTCGTGTGGACAATGTTGGGCCTTTGCTTTGTTTACTCTGTAAATGGCAAGCAGTGGTCAATGATGGGGAAATGTTATGTTAGGTTATGTCAGCTGATGTGACCCTAAACTAAAGTCACCTGCTGTTCTGACTCATCTGAGCCCACATCTGAAAGTCCCACAGAGCACCAGGGGTTTGGGGCCAGAGGAGAGCCTGGGCGCTCTGACAGTGCAGAGAGAGAAGAGGTGGGGGAACAGGACAGGGCCACAGGGCTTTTACAACGAGGAGGTGAAGGAGAGTGGTTGGGGCAGAATGAGGGACTAGGGTTCTCCAGTAAGCGGAGGTAGATGGACGGCTTTAACAAGAAGCACAAACAACAAAAGGATAGCCCAACAAAGTGATCACATTATTTCAGAGGAAAAATTTACATCAGCAACTAAAACCAGGGTCCTCAGTATGCTCGAGCAACAGTGTAGTAAAATCTGTCATCTTTAAATATATGAATAACTTGTGATACCTGCCACTTTGGACGACTAGGAGGAGGAGGAGGTGGGGCAGCCTTAGGTTTAGCAAAGCGAGGGTTATCTGTGTCCTGCTTTTCCTCCTCTTCTTCATCCTCAGAGGAGAGAGGAAGAGGAGAGGACACAGGAGAAGGAGAGGCAGATGGATATAGAAGATCCTCATCAGACTAAACAAGACAGAAAGGATAGACAGAGCAAAGAAGAGGATAGACGAATCAAAGGAAGGTCTTCAGGTCACTTGGTGAGGTCTCAAAATGTCTCACCTTGGTTCGTATTTTTCCTGTTGTGCTGTTCTCCTCGAACTTGGCCAGTAGTTGAGTTGCCATGGATCGGACCTTGTTCTCTCGCAGATCTCCATTTTCACCAGGAGGGGGAGCACTGTGGCAAGACAACTTTTCCCAGATAAAGAAAGTGTTAAAAAAGGTAACCATGGCAAAGTGTGAGGAATGATAGTGAAGGAAGGTTATATTCCATTAACCTCTGATAGATAATGGTCCCCTTTCCTCCTCCTCTTGTTAACAGAGTCATCTTCTGCTTTCTTGTCTTCCACCTTAAAGGAATTTTAATTGTCACATTTAGCATTTTCTGTCAAAAAGCTATCAAAATCTACAATTTTGGAAATAAATGAAATGAAACATAGAAAATAGTTCACCCTGGGTATCCTCTTTCTTGGTTGATTGTTGTTGGTTGCATAGTCCTTAGTGTTCTCGTCCAACTCTTTTGAACCTATCACATGAACATTTAACACTCACTTTTTATTGCCAACCATAAACACAATAGAGTTTCTTGCCTTGAGTGTATACAACTATGCAGCTCCTTCCTATTTTATCCTTTTTATTCTATAAAACATAAGAAAAGGTTGTGCTCCTAATATTAAAAAGACAGATTATGATACAGGGCTTAATGCTTTTGGAAACAAAGAGGGTAAATCATTTTCCCAGACTTTCATAGGAGTGGATTAGTCTGGAGTGACAGCAGTGCAGGTGACAGAGTTTAGTGACTTCTAACATGAAAGAAGTGTAAATCAAATGGGCCTAGTTCCCAGTGGCAGCGTGACAGGACTCCAGTACCTCCAAGGTTCCACCGAGCGCCTGGATGTGGCTTTCCAAGACATAGTGCACATACCAGACGTGTCTCTGGCAGGAACTAACCTAACCACGGAGCGGGTTGTGTAACTGAAGCTTCGTGCAGTGGATAAAATAGTCCCCGAGTCCAAGTGGTTTCTATCAACAGTTCCTCTCCGTCAGGTTCAAGTGTGTTCAATGTCAAATGCAGTGAACAGACACACAGACAGCCTGAGTTATTTGACTAAATGTTGCATACCAAGTGTAGTGTTTGTGCAGCTTAGTTTGCTTTTGTATAGGATTCCACATATACTTCATTTTATCCAACTGAGTGAACACTTTCATTTGAACACTGCACTTCAAGCCTATTTACTCAGGGTCTGGTGGAAGTGCACTAAAGTTACAAAAGACATGGTTAAACAAGCTAACCTTTGCCGTTTAGTGGCGAGTTCCTAAAGGCCTCATAGAACTTGGAGAGGTAGAGGACCATGAGCAATTTGTCTGGTTCCCCCTGTGCAGCCATCTCCTTCCCTGTGGTTACTGGCTGAATGTTGAACTCTCTCTCTGCTACATCAAAGGCCAGCTGGTTGTTTTCCGCAACATCCTCTTCATTTAGACAATCAAAGTCACTAAGACGAAATATCAGAATCATTAAGTCATTATTTAAGTTCATGAGAAACTGTAGTCACTTTTTCATCAAAAAAAAATCTGACTTGACAAGAGACTTTTAGCAGAACACTAGTGAGGCCTAAGTCATTAAAGCAGCTTCTGCCAAATTTCCTCCAAGTTTCCTGGAAACCCCTGAACTCACATGAGGTCAGGCCTCTGGCGGTGGATGAGTGCACACAGGGCAAGTCCACTCCTCCAGGACGAGGTCAGGTTAGTGACCTCCACCCCTCTGTAGCCCTGCGTCTGCCTCTGACACCAGCTCAGCAGTCTGCTGGGTCGCACCTCCGACTCTGGCAAAGGAACATAGTCAAGTTAGACTCCCCATAAACTATTGTGTTTTGTGCTGCATGAGATAATGTATGATACTTTTAGGGATTTAACTGTGATCTAGACTACACATTTATTTATTGTAAATTATCATCAAAAGCTCATCTTGTCTTGATCTCATAAATCCAATCTAGTGTCTCGTCTTGTCTTGTGTGAATTCTGTCTCGTCCCTGCCCTAATATCTTTGTACAGTTTTTACTTTCTTCCTTAAAAATTAAAATAACAACATTGTCACTGTACTACCAGATGCCAATTGACAAAGATAGAGTTATAGAAGAATAAATAAAAGTTTTAAATATGATTAAAAAACTGACTAATGTGTCTTGAGAGATGTGATATAAAGTGCTGCTGCTTGCTACAGGACTGCACGTCAGCACATGTCCGTCTGACCCTGATGTGGTGTAACTCAATCCCCTGGTATTGTCTGTGACGAGGTGCGCCGGCCTGTGGCGACACTGGAGATACTGTTACTGCTCAGAGAGGAGCCACTGAAGCATTTGGGATGATGTCATATATAGACAACTGTGTGAGGTGTGTGTGTACAGTACAGTGTTCAAATCATTATTGTAAACAACTGAAAAGAAGAAACTGTATTGTTATATAACAATCACATGTGTAGCCTTAACTTTATAGGGCTGAACACGTGGCTGATCTCAGTGGTGGATGGTCAGATTACATTTTCAACATGACTATGAGGCTTTAAAAAAGAATAGGGTCCTATGGCGGTAATGGTGTCAGTGCTTTGTGTAAATACACTTAATCCATCTCACTTAGTATCACATATGGACAGTTACTGAAACTTTAAGACAAAATCAAGAGCCACTGTCTCACCTCGTCTTGAAAGGCTGGCTGATTGCCGCGTGGGGTGTCTCTCCAGGAGACCAGAGACCTGTTTACCATCAAAAAATAAATGTCGCACCTAAAAAAAAAACATAATTTTTTTATTGAACAATTTCAAATATCATCTATAAAATAAGCTTCAGAAATAATTAAAATATTGGACTGACCTGATGGGGTCGGACACAGGTAGAGTTGAGGTTGGGGTACCGTGTTGTAGGGTCTATTGTGTACTGATCAAAATTCTTACTGAGGTTTTCTGGTGTAGTTTGAGGCAGCAGTCTGTAGATGCTCTCCCTGATACAAGACAACACAGAGCCTTAGACTCAGTAATATAGGGCAGGTGCAAATATTGTATAGACAAAGCTGGGTCCGGTCAAGCGGTAACATAGTGAAACAGGGGCAGATTTTTTACATTCAAATAGCTCTTATTCAGAAACTAGAGGGACTATTGTAATAAGTAAAGTATTACATGTAGAAAAGAGTTAGCACTCCAATAGGGTAAAGTTAAACCTGCAATATTCTTTCAGGTTGTTGACCAAAAATTTAAAAACTCCTGTCGGTAACGGAGGGAATGAAATATGCAGCACGTTTTGGGCAATAAATACAAACAGCGATAACTAGCGGTTCTCACTTACATATCCTTAACAAACTGATTTGAATATTTGCTTAATATAGTTTTCTACCATATGGTACAAGATTAGGTTGAAAAACCTCTTACTTTTTGAGTAATGAGATTTTTTATTAAGAAAGGTCATGGTAACGGAGGGAAAAGTAATGGAGGGAAAATTGTGCAAACAAGTAGAAGGTGCATGATTTTGCATCATTTGTCAGCTTTTTTCTTCCAAATACCTTATTACTTCAGAATGAAAGGAAACTATTTTTATAAAATATGTCAGTCCTTCCAAGTAAATTTTTAACATTTTAAATAATTTATATATTTTTTAAATCATGTGCCTTCATCAACAGTTCAAAGATCGAATAACACAAGATATGATGAAATACATGAATTTATTTACATGATTTGCAGGTATTTGAAATTTGGGAAATAATTTTTGTTCCATGTTTCATACATGGTCTGTTTAAAACGTATGTAACTTTAGAACCAAAAATGGTACAGAAAAAAAGTAAACAGTTTCATAAACTAGAGTACATATGCTATCTTTTGAATACATTTTTATATCAGATGCATTAACTTGAATTTTTGGCCTTGCTGTATACTTCTGCTTGACCGGGCCCATCTGTATCAATGTAGGAACATTTAGCAAGACAAATAATTGTTAAAACATTGATACATAAGCTTTTTATTTTAAGTCATTCATTACGATCCATATTTGTTTGTGTTTAATGTACTCTTCTCATATGAAAATCATCATGGAAAGTAATTTAACTCTTTAAATCTTTGCTAAAAACTAAAAAGATGATGTCAATTGGACACTGACCTTTCTGCCAGGACTTCCAGGGGGTTCCTGCCCTGTGCCCAGCCCTTCACCATCCAGGCAGCATCAAAGGCAGCCAGGAACCCCCGAGCGCAGCCTGTACCCATGGGCCAAAAGGGCTACAAAACAATACATCACTATTCGGATTATGGCACTTTTTGTGAGCTTTAATGGTGTATTGTCTAACTTTTCTGGTGGAATCTTTGTCATCAGATTTTTTTTCCATGGAGATTTTAATGCCTTGCCTCAGTAGTATTAAACTTATCCATCTTGCACTTATTCAATTACCAGTGTTGTCATCCTGGACAAAACAACATCTCCATGGAGACAAGGAGGTAACAAAAAAGTTACACAGTGCACCTTTCAGCCATGTCATAATGTTGTTACCTCCTCAAAAACATACATGGAGTTCTGTACATGCTTGAGTAACCATTTGTCATTAGTCCGTCTACATCTCCCAAATGTCAAAATGCTCTGTTCTTCTTGTGATGTCATGCACGGGTAGTTTTCAAGTCTAATATGTAGGATTTGTGCGTTAAACATGTGTGAATGAAACAAAACAATTCCAGGTATGTTTTTGATGAGGAAACAACAATATAGCATAGATCAGTAAAAAGCGTAATACAGGTCCTTTAAACTCTTTATATTTTGCATACCTCTAACAAACTGTCACCCACTAATGCAACCAGCAGCTGATGGCCACGCTTCTCCCGGATGAGAGCAGCGTTCTCTGAGGCGTACATGGAGGTAAAGTCAAACATGGCAACATCAGGCTGTCCATAGTGGTTAATGGCATAGTCCAGAGAAGGCAGCTGGTAGTTGGTCCCAAAGTCCGCAGCCTCACGAGCATAAGACAACAAGGCTTCCTGATCAACATTATCAGGGCTCAGCAGACGCTCTGTTTCAAGATAGTCCTGGTGAAAGAAAGGGGGGCAGGTTTAGGACAAGGCCTTGGTGTTCTTGATACAGATTAAATGCAGCAAAAAGAATTATTAAAATGCAGAAATTTGTAACTTGGGTCTAGTCACTGATAGAAATGATCAGGTTCAGAATTTCAAATCTGCCTCTTGTCACCCATTTGGGAGTATGACAACACATTTTAGAAACATAAGACATAACCATGAAAAAAAAACATTACACTCATTTACTGAAACTAGTGAGTGAGTATGAGAGGTGATCTTTCTCTAGTGAAAGGCCCCATGTGAGCCCACACAGCTGACAGTGAGGCATCACTCTGCACTGGAAGCCAATGTAAACTGAGACTGTGTCCACTGAGGGTATGGATCGAGATGGCTTCAGTCATGGTGCGTCATGTGTGCTCCAAAAAATAGAACATGTTCCACTCTGTAATGTTTTTGCCTCAGTTATGCCAATATGAAAACATGTCACTAAAACCTTACATAAAAGGTGATAATTCTAAGAGGACGTCAAGGCCTAAACTTTATCATCATGTTTTATGCAAGAACTGTGCAATCATATTTCAAATCATGATTTCAGTGATTAAATTATTCAAAAATTTAGCAAATTTCTGCCTCTAACAAACATAAAATAAATCTGAGATAAACTATACTTTCTCTACATGTTAATACTGACAGTATGTATAACTAGTGAGTCAGCTATTAGCCAAATAAATGATTACACTGTTTCCAATTATCAAGCCGTCCTGTTTTATGTCCTGCAGAAAGTTGTTGATAAATTTGTGTAATCTCACTGAATGAGGAAATGAGTCAGCTTACATTCAAAATGACTCCTTTGTCCAGAAGACTCTGTTTTTTGGCCGTCATCACAAAATAGTGGGTGTTGTCTTTGTAGTACACAATGTTCTCCAAGTCGATGCCTGAAGACACAAACAGTTTACTTAAAGAAAACAGTTTTAGTGCAGTTCAAAAAACATAATGGCTGTGGTGGGACCAGTGGCATAAACTCACACTCAAAGCACTAACCTGTCTCCTCTTTGAGCTCCAGGAAGAACTTCTGATTAAAGATAAAGGCCACACCGCTGATCTCCTCCACTTTAGCCTCAGCTGTGGTGTTCCTGTTCACAAAGTTAGCAGTGATGGCAATAGCCAACTTTCCCCGAAATTCTTTGCGACTAAAACCTGTAAAACGAAAAATATAACAGATTAAAAAAAACAAACACACAGCTGCTTATGTTAATATTTACTTCTCATAAATTCCAACAGTTTGTACACACGTTTTCTACCTCGGACATGAGTTTTTTACATTGTGGCCTCACCATCTAATGTGTTTCTTCGCCCATCAGCTCCAATGATCACATCGAAGTCAAACTCACTGACTGGATGAGTGGCAGGTCGCACCTCTGCTCGCCATCCTGGACCTGAAAACCATAGTTAGGATTTTCATTTATTTTAGTTTTGCCACAAAAAGCAACTAACTAAAACTTTTGCTGATCACTTTTGCATATAACGTCCAGAGGGAGCCAAATATAGCTGAAAAATGCTTTGAGAGTCCCTTTGTGCCAGTACCATTCATGAGCCTCCAGGCTGAGATAAGACTTACTGTCATCAGTCTGCTCCTCTGGGGGCTCCAGCAGTTTGACAAACTCCACATTAACATGAATCTCTATTCCCAGAATGAGTGCCACCTTAAGAAGCATGAGCTGTAGCTGGCGAATGCCTACGAAACAACAACAAACTCAAACTACTATACAGAATAAAGAAGTGTAGTCCAAATAAAAAATAATATAAACCAAAGACTGTATAGAGAAGTGGACTAAGCGAGTGTGACATCACCCATGGCATTCAATGCCATTCCAATGAAGCGTGCGATGCTAACGACTGTACAAGCAAATTTGGATTCAAGCTTTAGATTATGAATAGGACCTTTTTAACAAACAAAATAGTGAAATATAAACACCAGGGTCATATAGTGAGGGTTAATACGAACATTTAAGACCAAAATAATGAGACTCACTACAGAGAGAGGGGGTATAATATTCCACTGTAAGTCAGTGAGGCCAGAGTCAGAAGGAGCCGGAAGTGCCCACACGCAAACCTATTTGGAATGAGGCGGCTAGCGCATTAGCTACGTCCACTTATATATACAGTCTATGATATAAACAGAGTTTTGATGTCTGTAAACTTGTAAACAGTAAATCTTAAATGAGTCAATAGAACTTATAATAGAGGGCTGATTTTATGTACTATGTAAAATCTTTTGTAGTTCATTTGAGCCCAGACTGTAGACACTCACTGATATGGTCAATGGAGCCGGCACAGAACTTGCCATAGAACTTTTTGGCTCCGAGGCCCCTGAGGTCGTGGATGGTGTAGGGCCACAGGTGGAGGACATTGTTCCTGGAGAAGGTGTCCCTCTTCTCTATCACCACCACCTTACAGCCCAAAAGAGCCAACTCAATAGCAGTCCTCAAACCACATGGACCTCCACCGATTATGAGACACTGGGGGAGGAAAGGGAACATTCATGAGAAGAAGGAATACTTTATGAAAGGTTTACTGTAGCAAATGAAACAAAGTATTACGTTCCCTCTAATCTAGGAATTACACAAGGAACCAAAAAACCTCCCTTTTGTTTGAACAAAGCAACAGCAAATCTGAAATAATAAGGCATTCACACGCACCCAAGTATTTAGGGAAGTCTTTCACATTGATATATGGCATAATAAATATTACCCCAAAATAAACAAAACAAATGTAAACCAACCAGACTGTGTGCCCTACTTTTGAGGTTCTAAATTCAACGACATGCCCACCCTGTAACTCCCATTCTGCAAATAGCAGTTTCCTCCGGAAAAATGTGGGATAGTTGTTATGTGGTTATTTCTGGCAGAGCCTTGGCCTCCACAGTTTATCTCCTTGAGTTTTCTCTGGACTCTTTCCCCTCAGGACAGCTTATCTGTTGCTCAGATATGAGCTCATTATAGGACACTATATATGAGCTCATATACTAGTATAATAAAGATCCAATGTATGTTGGCTGGTCATTTGAACAGCAAATCCAAATTTAAAGACTTGGTTACTTGGTTATTGAGCTTCAATACCCCATACCTTCTCTTAGGATTTTGGAGTTAATTACTTCTGATATAACTGTAGCTAAACTCTACTTGATTAATCCCATATGAAATTAATCTGTATTCACAAAAATTTACAAAAATGAATAATCGCTCCCTAGAATAGTTAGTTGTTGTAATAAATTTTTGGACTTTTGCAAAGCAGTATCCACAGGATTTTCATTGTTATTTATTGCTCAGCCTCCTGTGTTGTGTCATGCTGTGAAGACAATTGTGGCCTTGAGTCTTTTGTTTAAAGAGTTTTACTGCCAAATCCTGAGCTAAATACTGCACAGATTTATAGGTAATCTGACAAAATACTGACTACGTGAAATAATTGTCATGGAGCTGAAGTTTCTACAGTTTTGGGATAAGAGCGCATTAGAGCTAAAGGTGTGGCATGTACAGTACTGTATTATACGAATATAAGATAGGGCTAATGCCTTGGTGGAGGTTGGCCCAAGGCAAGTTATTATAGTTACAAATGGCAGCAAAATGCATAGCTATTTATGACTTTCAAACTATGGCAAATGTCCTTTATTGCATAGAAATTAAGAAAACTGAAATAGTATTTATTTAAATGGGAAAATGTCCTCACAAAAACTTAAAAATCAGGAACTAATTATTTGCCTGAAAATTAATAGTGAGATTAGATAATGAGTTCCTAAACAAACTAGAACTTAACCAGATGCAGCATATTAAACTCTTTAAAACCCTCATGATTTTTTCTTAGATTTTTATTGCCAATGGAATAAAAAATTTATATATCTTAACTAACGACCTTTAATCTTACCCTGGTGCCCTGGCAGGCTGTGTTTTGCTCGTATGCCTTGTGCTGAGCTCTTTTGTCCAGTTTGGTCCACAGAGTCTTGACCTTCCATGAGGTGACCGCGTCCTTCAGGCAGCTGTAGAAGTGGGCGTGGTCGAGTGGGTCTAGCTCCAGCTGCCGACACAGGATACTGAAGGCCTGCAGCGTGCCTTTGCAGGTGGTGGCCTGCACAAAGGTCTCAAAGAGCTGACTGGCCCGAGCCGTGCGCTCATCTTCAGTCTCCCCCATCAGCTCTGCACAGCCTCACGGAGACATACTCAGGAGAACCTGAGAAAATAAGACACAATGGTAAAACTACAGCTGCAATGGTGCAATTTGTCATCCAAATATTTAATCTATCTCCATGGGTAAGGTTGTAATTTAGACATACAGTCATGTTATGAAAAGCAAGTAACTGTTGTATTGGATTCGCAGTTTATATTTTTTGTCATCTCTGTAATACTTCTGCAATACTTATACTTATGTCAAACATCAAATAATATCCATCCAGTAAAAACACAGAAATAAGACGGCTCTAAATGTGAGAGCAGAGGTCACATTGCTGCCAAGTATCTCCTTAAAATAACATGCACAGGTTGCTACGTGCTCTGTAAATGGAGAGTGAAGGAGCCCAGGGAGCAGAGCTTTCCGCAGGCCTGAGACCCACACTTGAAACAGTCATATGGACTTCTCACACACAACAAGGGTTTTGCTGCTCGCGCTCCCTTGAACACCTGATAGGATTATAACAGTCTGTGGTCTGAGGGCTTCAGCTGAGCAGTCATGAGGAGCAGAGAAAACTACACACATGATGCAGAGCAGCCTGAGGTGTGGTACACACATAAAGTACATTTGGTCCTAGTGTAGAACAAGGACTTTGACATAAACTTCAACAATCCATGATAACGAGGCAATCAGGACAATTGAAAAGAAAATGGGGAAACAAAAAACTCTGTCAATTTACATAACTTAAGTTTTTTTTTTTAATATGTAGGTAATAATTTGTTATTATACAAATACATATGAAATAGTACACTTTTTATTTGACCTTTGGACTTCTTACTTGAAATGGAGCACTTTCCAAAGATGTGTTCATATTTAACCCAAACATGGTAAACATGGTACAGCACAATTTCAATCCTCTCTTCTGTTTACTTCATTTAACAGTTTCCACAACTCCCTTAAGCAGAGTTATCAAACTAACCACAGCAGTTTGCATGATAAACCTCTATGATGTCCATAACTTGTGACTGTCAAATGGGAACTCTGAAAACTATTTTTAAGGCTAAAGATTGTACACTCACCTTAGAATCAACTGTGAGTCTGGAGGAGCTTCTCAGTATGATAAATGTCCTCACAGAAAGTGCAGCTAGGGACATTTTATGCACAACTGCAGAGCAGTCACGACTCCACAACCCACAGCAGCATACACTCCCTCTCAGCGCCGCGGCCCAGGGGAGAGCTCCAGTCTCTACAGGTTGGCATTAGACCCTGTGTCTCCATTACCACAAATACACTCTACAAACGGTGTGTCAATATGGCTTAGAGGCTCAACTGATACTGTTGGGAAAGCTTCACAGAGGTACTTTAAGTCACCATTAATCTTCTATTACTTTTTAATGGCTTTTCAAAGGCTATGCCCTTGAGGTTTAGTTAGTTAGTTTAGTTTAGAGTATAAGCCTTTACAAATATCATACCTTTATATATTACATATTTAATAGAGTAGTAACACATTCATTACAACTAAAAACACTAATCAAAATCTAAGCACAGAACATACTGAACTAGAAAAGCACTCAGAGAGCGCAGACCTCCGCCAAGGACTACCCCCATTTTTTATATAAATTGCGATAAAATCAGTCTTCTGGATCAGATCCAGATCAGCCTTTGGAATATGAAAGAGGATCCCATTGTCCATCCCTGAGTCAAATTTCATGGGGTTTGGTCAATAATTAACCGAAATATTGAGAAACAAAATTTTTGGCCCCATTTACCACAATGTTAACTAAAATTTCAAAGTGATCCAGAATCCAGGATTTCTTTCGGATCACCCCCAAAATGAAATCAGTTCTTCCTTTTCACATTTCCAACAAATCCTGAAAATTTCATCAAAATCGGTCCATAACTTTTTGAGTTATGTTGCTAACAGACAAACAAACAAACAAACAAACAAACAACACACAAACGCCGGCAAACATAACCTCCTTGGTGGAGGTAATAATCAATACTTCACATTGTCATTCAGATCTTTTCTTTTAGTAGTAGTAGTAGTAGTATTAGTAGTAGTAGTTTATTCCTTCATTTTGCAGCAGTAGAAAACAAAACAAAACAGACTACAACCCAAATCAAATGTCTGAATTTTTTCCCACATCTTTTTTTGGCCTTGTACCAGTTGCGCTGTAAATACATGCATCTTTGGCCATGTAATAAATCTGATCTGGATCTACACTCTGGATCTGCACAGACTGAATGCTTCACTGCTCAGAGATTATCTCTCCTTTTGGATTGCCTCTGTGTTTCTGAAGAAGCTCAAATCAAAGACATTCTAAAATCTCCCAATATTATCCCTAAATCATCCCAGAGCGATGCCCTACTTATAACTGCTCTGATAACCG